AATCAATTGAGTGGACAACTTTTACTTGTCCAGAAGGACATTTTGAGTGGCCTGTTATGCCATTTGGACTTAAAAATGCTCCGTCAATCTTTCAAAGAAAGATGGATCAAATTTTCAAGAAATATGATCATTTTTGTAGTGTTTATGTAGATGATATTTTAGTACATAGTAAAAATAGAAATGAACATAGAAACCACTTGGAAATAGTTTTACAAGAATTTATCAATAATGGAATTGTGATTAGCAAAAATAAAATAGCATTAGAAAAGCAAGATATAGAATTTTAAGGAATGTATATCAAGTCAGGTACAATACAATTATAAGATCATATAGCCAAAAAGGTCTTAGAATTTCTAGATAAGTTAGAAGATATGAAATAGTTACAAGCATTTTTAAGATTGTTAAATTATGCAAGAAATTTTATCCCTGATTTAGGAAGAAAAATAGCAGTATTACATAGTAAAACTAGCAAAACTGGACAAAGTATTTTAATAGTGAAGATATTAAAATAGTTCAAAATATAAAGGAAGAAATTATTAAACTTAAGCCATTAAAATTACCATTTGACGACAATTACAAAATAATTGAAACAGATGCTTCATCATTAGGATGAGCAAGTATACTATACCAGAAAAAGTATAAGGAGTCACCAAAGTATGACGAATAAGTTTGTAGATATTCATCAAGAAAATTTAGTGATGTATAGTCAAGATTACCATCAACAGATTTAGAAATTTTAGGAATAATTAACTCACTTGAAGCATTCTCTTTATTTGTACATAATGAACTATTTACGATTAGAACAAATTGCCAAAATATAGCTTCTCATTATAACAAGATACATGCTAATAAACAGGCAGCTCGAAGATGAGTTAATTTTGTTGATTTAATTACAGGGAATGGGTTTAAACCAATTTTTGAACATATAAAAGTTAATGACAATACATTAGATGATATCTTATCAAAATTAATTTGTTGAACAAAAATGGAATATCGTGGACCATCATCCTCAAATGGCACAAGACCACAAGGTAGAAGAGCACTTTTCAATAGCATAATGATGCACCATGGACTTACCAGCATGACCACATGTACCAACATTCAACTTTAATGGCAATATTGTTAAAGGAATCAGAAATCCAACTCTAAGGTATAGGTCAAGAGTACCAGGAATTTTTGATAGGCAGCAGATTTTCCTAGATAATTTTTAGAACATCCAAATTAAATAGTCAAACACGAGGTTAGGTCATGAAAAATTAATTAGAGCCTTAGAACAAGAGTTTCATAGTTTTAATTTTAGTATCCATCAAAGCCAGCATCATATTTATTCTCTTGAGCATAACCTTCAAGTTATTTCTAGGGACCATGAGTCATTACTTAGTAAGTTTACCAAAATGAACCAAGAACTCCAATCTTTTAGAATGTAGCAGAAGGCAAGTGACACCTTGAAAAGAGAATTGAAAATAGTTTTGAAACTTATCAGGATAAGAATAAAAAAAATAGGTTATTGAACCCATAGAACAAGAGGCTAATAAGCCTATAAAAGAGATTAAGATTGAGCTCTTAGGAGAAGACATTGAAATGGAGTATCATCAAAATAATGAGCAGCATCAGCATCTGAGTGACAAAGAAAAACAAGAAAGATATGAAATTTTTCTTAGTAATATATATTTAGACTTAATAATAGATGAGATCTTATTAGAAAAAATTTCAAAAGCAAAATTAAGAATAATGCCACCAGATATGCAAAATGAGACATTGAGTAGAGAATCATAGTCCATGAAAGAGTTACAATTACAATTACAATGTGCTTTGTATCAGTCCATCTTTGATCCAAAACCAAGGATGAATATTATTACAAAGATGTATCCACCATGTCTTTGTGATAGTATAGATAATTGTATTTGTAAACCAGAGGTTAGCATAACTGTGGCCAGGTTAACATGAGAAATTTTAGACCATGGCATTTTAGTTATGAGCATCAGAAAAAACATAATGTGGTAGAAGTTACCCCTGCCTTACTATTAGATTTTGGCTATCTTGATAAAATATTCATTAACCATATTTCCAAACTAGAATCTTTTCCTGAAAAACTTATAAAAGTAGTAGAAGATAATCTGGAAACGTGGAAAGAAATTTGCGTAATTTTATTAGTAGTCCTCCAAATTGGTATGTACATATGCATAAGGAGAAAGCCAGGTAGCCATGATTAATGAAGAGTCATTTAAACTATCCCTTATCTCCTCACATAGGTGAACTCCTTCATACAAAGATATTCTAAAATTTCGAAGGATTCAAATGCTAACTTTAGCTGAGTTTGAAGATTTTAGGTATGATATGGTATTAGTAGCAGAAAAAAGAAGAAATGTATATTTACAGTAAGACAATGATCAGTCATCAACCCTATTGGAAGCCTCAATATTTCAAAGAAGAAATAGCAGAAATGTACTACAAGGTGAAAAAAGATAGAGAAAGAGATGCAGAGCTAGTAGAAGGCGATGAACATTATTGGAACAATTTGGCAGAAGAAGAGCTGTGTAACATTGACAACATGATGAAAGCATGAAGAGCTGGCAGTAAATTAGCATAAGTTGAATAGTATCATGTAAATAATATATTTCCAGATAGAAATATCAATATCATTGTGGATCTCGCTACAATAATAAAATAATAGCATAAGAGTAAATAAAGAAAAGAGCTTGATCCATTATGGACTTTTCATACACAAAATGTCCTTTTGATTAAGAATGAATAGTGATAGGCCCTTTTCGTTAGAATTCCCTTAATAATTCTCTCAAAATTGATGACGTGATTCCTCCATTTTTTCATAAGGAATTGTTATTAACACTTCAAAAATCTCATTCTACACTCCTAACAAGTGTATTTTTCTTTCTAATTATAGAAAGTTTGAAGTGCTAATAACAATTCCCTTTTTTATATTCTTTTATCATTATTGGGGAAAAAAGAAGAGTTCAAAATTACTTTTTATATCTTTTGCAGGTGTTGCTCGCTTTCCGATGGATTATGCCTATACAGCAATTTAGAAGAAAAAATAAATTTTAACTCAAATGCATAGATAAAAATCTGACATCTATCTACTAGAATGTTGAACCACGTGAGTGGCGTGGCTCGTACATGGTCCTTGTAGTTTTTTGCCGTTAGTGGTTTAAACTGAACTTTAAAATAACTTGACTGCCGAAAGCAAAGTTTTTTTTAGACAAAATATTATAAGAACAAAAAAGGTTCAACGAATAGCCCAAGAATGTTCCATCCATACCTTCAGATGAAATAAAAATTACAACGTGTCAAGCTTAAACGCTGTATGCAAAATTTTTAATGTAAATTAACGAAAAATTTCGTTTGTAATAAAAAAAATAAAGAAGAGTCACACATCAATAAATAATTTTAAAGGTGAGTAAGTATTTCTTTTCTTCTGTTAGTTAGTTAGCAGTGTGACTTCTTTACCCTAAAATTACTTATTGAATAATGTTAAGAAGATTAAATTTGTAAATCAAATAATGTGTCACCAATATAAAACAAGCACATTAATCAACACTTCTAATCATCAACCACCATAGTTAAGTTAATAGTGTCTCACGATTGTCCTATTTTAACAATTAAAATAAACACATTAATCAACACTTAAGTAATAATTCAACTATTAACCACCACATCATTTTGTTTTACAAATTTAATTTAAAATTTTAATCTCACAACGTTATCCTTACTTTTATCCTTGAGGGGGCATTTGTTTGCCCTCGTTAAAGTTCACTGGACTGGACAAAATTAAGGGTTAGTCTAGTCCCATGTTTGTTCCTAGCAAGGATTAGCTTTAATGAGACTAGCTTTCACTCGCCTCAACTAAAGGTAGGACTATCCGATCTTAGTGATTACCCCCGAGAAACATGGGACTAGCTAAGACCATCATCTATCTCATCCTTGTCCCACTCGACGACTACTCACAGCCACTCCTTGTGACCTCCGACCACACACTGCCGGTAACTTTTTGATTCGACTATCTCTTTCAAATGCGTTTCACAACCAATTTTCACATAAAAAATATACCAAACAGAAGCTGGGAGTGAGAGGATTCCGTTTCTACCTGAATCGAGGCCAAAAGGTGCTCAGAGGTGGTCGGAAATTGGCCCAGAAGTCTCGGCATGTTTGGGTTTCTTCGAATCCATGACAGATTTGAGCATGCAAGGCTTCGATCTATGTCCAGGGATGGAGAGCGGTTTGTTGGTGGTGCTAACCTCATCCAATTCGATGAGGTTTGCTTAGAAAACACGATGGAAAACCTGCAACTCGTCGGTAAAAATGGAGATGTGAGGTTTTGTCGAATAACACATAACTAGAGCGAGGGAGAGAGGAGAGAGAGACTGGAATCAAGAGGGAGTTGGACAGAAAAAAGAGAGAAATAGAAACTAGAATTGAGATGTCTAATCTGGGAGAAGGAAGGGTGGGACGGAGAAGGAAGAGAAAGAGGGAGAGAGTGACGGTGAAGGAAGGAAAAGAGGGAGAAAAATATAGGATAATAATAAAATATTAATATTTATTAATTAAATAATATAATATTATTTATCCTGCTTTTTAATTCGACAGTGCACTAAACAGTTTACTAAGCTAGTCTAGCTTAGTTTATTCTAAGCTATAGTCCAACTTAATTCTTCAAATTAATCTAATTCGAGATAGTCTGATGCAACAATCCTGATTGTCCATCCTTGTAATATGAATTCAACAAAAATTACTTTATCCTTTGTTAAAAAAAATTACTTTATCAGAGGCTCATACAGTGCCTGTGTGTATTGCATGATAGATCAATACGTGGCACCTATACATAGTAAACGTATCATGTTCATAAGAAACGGTGCCTGCAAGTGTGAGGTGTCCAGTTGTTGGTTACTTTTTAATTTACTTTTTCCTTCCGCTTCCTTGCTGAAATGAACAAATGTTCTCAGGTTTTCTCTTCTTGGCAAAAACATAAGTAGAAAATTTGCAACTTTCTATAGGTGTTGTTTCACAAGCGTTGCAAAATGGGACAAGGCCAAAAAGTTAAGACTAAAGATGATGCCCAAGTTGAAATTCAGGTTTGTTTCTGTCTATATCTGTGCTCAAGTGGTTCAACGTGTTTATCTTTGTATCCGAGCTCGTGTTTGAATTCTGTCCTGAATGAAATAATGATTTTATGTGTTTGTTGACTAGACCCTAATATGGAAGTTGAAGTTAAATGTTGATTTGATAGTGATATTAATGTGCTATGTTGATTGTGTGACAAAATTAAATGGCAGGAAGGGGGGGGAGGAATATGTTTCTTCTACCGGCCAAAGGTAAACAAAGAAGAAGCGCACAGCTAGCCCAGACGACGTTCAACGGTTGTACATCGTTTTAAGGCCGGAGTCTGGTGAGAGGCCAGTTGAAGAAAAGCAGGACCCCGATTCGGGAAAAGAAGGTGCGATGGCAAAGAAGAAGGGACCGAAAAGTTCTGGTGAAAGCGAGAAGGGTTCGGGTGGTATCGGAAAAAGTGAAGGTGGTGGGCATGGCAGGCAGGAAGTGAACATTGAGAAGCAGCCATTGCTGAGGTTCATAGTGATGTGAAGGAAAAGCCTTCCAGATCCAGGAAAGAAAGGCAGACCCTACTGGGGTTTTGTTGAGATGGTCGCCACGAATATTGATGATGTGAAAACTGTCTTCAATTCTTTAGGTTTCATTCGTCAACCTACACTAAATTCATCAACCTTTTTTTTGTTGTTTTGTGTGGTTAATTCTCAGCTTATTTTTCGTAGCGTGTTACTAATCTTGATGTTATAATATGGATTGGTTCACGAATTTAATGTATTTAATTAATAATATGGACTAATCCATGAATCTAGGGTACTTAGTGAATCGGTAATCCCACATAATAGTTCTAGTATATATATTTGGAAACTTGTTTTGGAGAAAATTTTGTGTCTGATAAGTGCTACCTGATGATGTTTTATACTTTGGTCAGGGAATAGAGTTAATTTATTGTGATAATGCTATGGTCGCATGAGTTACTACTCATACTTCTGGAGAAATTTTTGTATATGACAGATACCGTAACACATGGTGATGACAATGTATACTTCAAGTGTTAACAGTCTCATTTTGAGCAATTTATTTGTAGTTTTGGACATAATCCAAAAAAGATGGGTAGAGATCAGTGTTCATTCCATGTATGTTATATTGCAGAGGAGTATGAAACTAAAACAAGAGGACACAGACATACTTCTGAAGCAAGGGCATTAGGAGAAGGCGTTTACCGCATTCTGCGGCACGAGGGGTGAAAGAAACCCCACACTCATCTGATTTACAAGCTGGGGTTCCCACCCGAAAATGAGAGCAATAAGCCTCAGGAGTCGCTTAACATTAAACATGAAGGCTCATTTCATATTCAGATAAAGAACCCTGATCAACACGCCAGCAGCAGAACTAGTTCTCGGTCCAGAGGGCTACAGAACAAGCGCACAGCTAATTTTCCTGCCCACCTGCAAGGCCTGTTTGGGAAATTACGGTACCACCCAGCTGATCCACCCGACTTGTTGAACTACGAAGGATGTGAGTTCTTGCTCATATCAGCTTCGGATGATGTAGAAGAGGAGTTGGGGTTGGATCTTCAGACAGAAGAGGAAGCCAATGAATCTTGTTCCGATTTGATCAAGACTTTCGGGGAGATTGCATCAACCAAACCTCTTCTGAAAGGCACTTGGGTGTGAAAAAAAAAAAAACGGGGGAAGGATAAAAAATAAGAAGCCAGCCTTTTTGTTCCTTTGGTGGTGTAAATCTTGTTGCTTTCGACAAAACATTAGGAGTGAGTTTGTATGTAACTTTAATGCAAACTGGCCCCTTGTGCACGTGTAGAGACATGTATTTTATGCAAGTACTTTTGTTTTTAGTACATACACCTCTGCAATACAACGACTGTGCAAATTGGATATGTCAATGTAGCTCCTGAACACGCTAAACCCAACCGTGAATTCCCTTGCACAACCACCCAATGTGACCGTGTGAATTGCTTGCACTCGCACGTACAAAATGAAAGCCCGTTTGTTTGGTACCAAAAGCTATTTTTTTTTGGTTTTTGGACTTTTAGTCTTCTTCATTGGATGCTATTTTCAACCAAAATGGCTAAACATAGCCCCGTTCAGTCGTTGGGTTGTATTTTTTAAGTTTATACATCCTTGCAAAAAAAATTATTGTTAAATGAACAGTGTTAGGCCATGCACATATATCATTTCCAACCGAAGGGTAAACATAGCCCCTTCAATAATGTATTATTTTTTAAGTTTATATTTTTAAATTTATTGATTAATTTAGATAAACTACCGTTATATGTTTTCAAATTTTACAGTTAAATTTGAATTAATTATTGCAACTAAGAAGTTAGGCCCCAAGAAATGGCTAAAGCCATCTTCAATGGATTAGCCCATAGGCTATGTTTTAGCCCGAAATTGAACAAAACTTATCTCAAATGGAGGTTTGAGCCAAAAGAAAAAAGGACCCATTAGGCCAAACTCAAACCCTTTGACCATCGGGCTGGGCATGTTGAGCCAGCCACCCAGCCCATTTGAGGGGCCCATGCTATCAGCATCCCACTTACTAGCTGAAGTCATATTTTGATTTTTTTTTTTTTTAAAGACAAAATTTGAGAAAAAAATTATAATTTTTTTTTATATAAATACTAAGCTATTTCTACACTATTTCTCATATCATTTTTACCCTTTCATACTATCTTTCTTAGAAAACTATAATAGTGAAACTAATAGAAGGCTAGAAGAATTGCAGGCAGTGGTTGACTAGTTTTCTGTATTTATCAACAGCAAAGAAACCAAAATATATAGAAAAACATCGAGTAATGGTGATATAACTAATAAGAAAGTAAATATTTTACAGTAATGATGATATATTACAAGGATTCTACAATATATCACAAGGATATTTCTTAATAATTTTACCTTATTTTATTTCAATTGTTCACATTCTTTAAACTCCTAATTTGTTATAATTTTTAATATCTAAGTTGTTATAGTTTTAATACTTAAGTTGTTTTAGTTTTAATATTTAAGATGTTGTATTTCAATTAAATTGTGATCTTTGAATTAATGTCTAAGTTGTTAGCATGCAAGTAAAATTAAAATATTTAATAACATGAAACTTAAACAACATTTAACAAATAACCTTATTTTATTCATTTAGCGATAAGTGACACTCAAAATATGTGTGGATAGCCTTATTTTAATATGGTAGTTTAATTCAATTAACTAATAAAATTAAAGAACAAACTTAAAAATAATAAATTATTGAGGAGCTAAAAAATAGCCTCTTCGATTGGAGATGGTATATAAATATGGTTTGGCATTGTTCATTTAAAAATCATTTCTTGCAGGGCTATAACTCTGAACAGGGCTAAACATAGCCCCTCGGTTGAAGATGCCTAAGAGGGGGGCTACATTTAGCCAGCCTAATGCCCCTTTGGTCAAATTATAGTCTAGTGGACTCCATAGAATTATTGTGAAATCTATTATCAGATTTCACCGTTTAAAATTACGTATTTCGTATTCTTATTCTTAGTTTTGACGCTTTTATATTTACGATGTATTTGATCCTTTTTTTTTTTTTGCACTTATCTTTATATATTTGGATAGTACTCATCGAAACGAATGCGCGGGAGCAAACAGAATGTAATTTGGAGTTATAACGAAGATTCTATGAACCTTTAATCATCGAAGGCATTTTGGAAAATTGACAATTGAACACGTGAAATTTGTTGTCTGCCACGTGGGACCCACAGATTGGTCCCCATTTTTCTGGATTCTTCTTTTCCTCTTCTTCTTTCTCCCGTTACTCTCCCTCTCATTCACTCTTCTTCACCGGGACACGCCATCATCCACCACCATTTCTTTTCCAGCAAATTGGACCTTGCAAACATCCCCACTATGTTCACTATCATCCCAGGAACCTGTTTTATGTGTTGGATACTCGAGTTTACCTCGGGATCAAACAAATCAAGAACCTCCATTTGAGCCGTCATTTTGCAGGTCAATTTCACCTATATTATGAGCAAATTGAGACCTTTAAGCACCATAATTGGATTTCTCACGACGTGTAGATGAATTTTCATGTTTGGATCGTGTAATTTGGTTGAAAAATGAGAAAGTTATAATGACTTAAAGTTTGCCTAGCTTCCGGCGAACCCGTGACCTTCCAGACAATTTTTCAGCAAAACCACCGCGATTTATCCATCTAAAAAGGTGTCAATCTGTTCGTCTAGTTCCAAGCTATGATTTTCATTTTTGAATCACTCAATTTCGTTGAGTATTTACAGAGTTATGGACGTTTAAAGTTTGCTGGTGAGTTACCAATTTTCCCGCGGACAGCTGTCTTTCCGACCATTTTCCAGCCACCTCAGGCCACCATTTGGGCTTCAAGGGTGTAATTATGTTCTACACTTCTCTAGCTTCGTTTTGGTATATTATGAGTCGAATTTGGTTGAGAAACGATGAGATATGGAGTTCTAAAGATTGCCCAAAGGGACCATTGACTTTTGTTGATTTTTTTGGGTTTTGGCCCATGAACTATCTTAGAATTTTTTGACATTTTGAATCCATTTTTGACATCCGTTTAGTGAAAGTCTAATGTTTTAACGTAGTTTCATAGTTGATCAGCTAATTGACTGCCACTTAAATTTGTGATTAGTAGAGATCTGACTGTCGAATCATGATGAAGTTTTAGTATGTCGTTCTATGAGTATAATGAGGACCTTAGGAAGTTACAGATCTGAAATCCTATGTGTGGATCTTCTGGATTGAATTGCTAAGGTTGTAGACCAGACAGTTGACCTTTGACCCATAGTTGACTTTTGGTCAATGGATCCCAAATCATTCTAGAATGTCCTAGATGACATGCACAAGCTACGATTACGTGTTCTATCAATAAAATTTTGAGACGTGATTTGATATTTGTTCTAAGGGACGATCGTTCGTGACGCCTCGATATTCGTGCTACGGAGTCGTAGTGCGGGCTCCATGTGAGTGACTTTAATATATGTGATATTGATAATTACCCTGTTTTTGTAATTGTTATCCTGTGTGGATATGGTTTTATAAATGTGTTTTCTATTTAATTGTTATTTTTAATACTTAGCCATCGATGTAGTTTTATGAAATGTGATTTGACGTGCATATTGGAAATATAGTTTGTTTTGTATGATTGGCTTGTGTGATGAAATGTGAGGGCTAGTAATGGACCATGAACCCATTGTCATGGGGTTTGTTGCTTCGAGACTTGTTTCACATATCGTATCATTATTTCATTTCTCGTTTCGTTCAGCCGTTATAATTGTGTACCTTGTGCTTTGTTCCATTTCTTGTTTCGTTGAGCTTTTGTATTTTGAGTACTTGTTTCATGTCTTGTTCTTCGAGCGTTGCTATATTCCTTGGACTTCTGCTCTATTCCGTTGAGTATTCTGGAACTAGGTTTCCACTGGGGTTCCGTTAAGTGGTCTGATTCCCTGCTCCGTCTAGATTCAGTTGAGTGGTCTAGAATCGTATCCACTTGAATTCCGTTAAGAGGTCCATAATCCCTTTTACTTCGCGATTCCGTTGAGTGGTCTGGAATCGTATCTTGGTTGGATTCCGTTGAGTGGTCTGGAATCGTATCTTGGTTGGATTCCGTTGAGTGGTCTGAATCCCCTTTTGGTGTCTTGGTTCCGTTGAGTGGTCTGGAACTCGATTAATTGCTTTGTTGATTCTTCAAATTGAGATAGCTTTAGAGATGTAAGCTTCGGCTGAACTGTGTCGTTCTAGCCTTGCTTTTCATTGCGTTGTATGAGTTTATGTTTATAAGCTTTTATGATTTGTTTCAGACGAGCCGTTGGATGTCAGGGTGACTCCTTCGGGATTTTCAATGACTTGATAATGATTTCATAAAATATGATTTTATATTTGACGTTTATAATTAAACTAAATCATTGGTTGGTTTTTAATAGTATCACATACGTAGAATTATTGTCACTCACACGAGCTTCGTGGCTTATCCGGGTTGTTGTTTGCCCGCTGCACCATTCCCATGGTGTAGGGGCGATTATGCAAGTTTTAGTAGATACGAGGAGCTTTGGGGTAGCAGACAGAGTTCAGAGAGCTTGGATTGTTAGTTTACCCCTATACTTTCCTTAAAAAGATGTGATTATTGTTATTTTCAGTGTAGTATTTCAGTTTGTATTTCCTGGCATCCCCCTACAGTTTACCGTCACGTGTCGATTTCGGGTGTATCTTGGGATCGGGGCATGACAACTTTTGGTGGTATCAGAGCTTAGGTATTAGATGCCTATACCTGTACCTTAGAATGAGGAAACCTTGGGTAGGTTATGGGTAGCTAGACCTTTACATAAGCAATGTGGACTCGTCCCGAGTCTTATTTATTCGCTTACTCTAAATTCTTTTATTCTTCAGACTTACAATGACGACTCCACATGGTTTTACCGAGTCAATTGAGGATGATGTTCCCGATGATAACGTAGCTTCTGGCACTGATCAAGAAGCTAGCCACGACTATGGTGGACCCGATGGTGCTTTTCGAGCAATTGAGGATTTGGCTCAGCTTATGCAAGCTCACATTTGTGCGACTTCTGCTAGTGGGAAGTCTTTGTATAGAGAGTTTCGTACTCATAAACCACCTTCATTCGATGGTTATACTGATCTGTGGGCGGCTCAGTTTTGGATTAATCAGATTGCCAGGATTTTCACCGTCTTACGTTGTTCGTCGAATGAGCAAGTAGATCTTGCTGCATATATGTTGATGGGCAAGGCTTACGAGTGGTGGCAGATCACTCGTCCTGTATTGGCAGTCGGTGGATCCATTACTTGGGAGCGTTTTCAAACGGCATTTTAAGAGCAGTACTTCCCAGATTCTTTTTGAGACGAGCTCGAGGCGGAGTTCGCTACTATCGAGCAGAGCACAGATACAGTTGTTGAGTATGTGGCTCGTTTCACCAGACTTTATCGATTTTCTCAACCTTTCCCTGAGGAGAAGAAAATGAAGAAACTTACTCGTGAATTTAAGCCTAGTATTCAAAATCTACTATCGATTCAGGGACATCCTATGCTCAGGCCATTGATCGTGTATGCACTGCGGAGATTAATGAGGCGCGTGATGCACGAGCTAGTGGTGATCAGAAGAAGAGAATCCGGTCGGAGGGTCAGATATTTGATACATTTTCAAGTGAGGCCCGACGACGTGTTGAATTTACATTTGGTGGATCTTATGGTTTTCCTCACAAGGGACATCATGGATTTGCAGAAGATGACCAGCTACTTTTGGGAGAGATTCTCATCGTTCTACTGGGTAAGGTCATCACAGTCGTTTTCGTGGGCGCAAATCCCATAGTTCTTCTGGGGGAGGATCACAGACGCAGTCTCAAACAACCATACCGCGAGTTTGCTCACACTATGAACGTCGACCAACATAGTGGTCCGTGCAGAGATGGGACTTTGATATGTTTTCAGTGTGGCCAGGTTGGTCATTTCATGAGCGAGTGCCCGAAGGGGGTAAGTATTGATATGAGCACAGCGATGGCCAATGTTGGTGGTCCAGTTGCACCTTCAGTTCAGGATACGTCATTCAAAGCACCTTCAGACTCAGGTCAGCAGAGATTTGTTTGACAGAGAGGTCGACAACCTAAAGTCAATCAATAAAGATCAAGATCGAGGCGTGACAATTATAGCCTAGCCATGGGTTGGAAATGAGTTCTTGGCCAAATTAAACTATGTTTTGGCTTTTGGACTTTTAGCCATCTCCAACCGAAAAGACTATGTATAGCCCCCATCTAGAATTATAGTCCTATAAGAAATTATTTTTTAATGAATAGTGCCAAGCCATATTCATATATCATTTCCAACCAAAATGGCTAAACATAGCCCCTTAATGATTTCTTAGTTTTAATTTTACTCTTTAAATTTTTAAGTACTACTTATATCATACGAACATAAGGTTACCAAGACATGATTTAACAATTTTTTAGTTTTTAAGTTTACTTTTTAAATTTATTAACTACTACTTATATCATATGAAAATAAAATTACCGAAACATCATTTTTTAAGGTGGATAGAAAGTGAGAAAATGGATTAAAATGAGTCAAGGTAGTAAAGATTAGGTAGAATCATCTTTTTTAAAATGTGGTCCTAATTTAGTTAAAAGAGAGATTTATGTGTATAGTTTATTGCACTTTTTCAATTAGAATACCCATTATAGGGAATTGGATCCCCTCTGGACCCAAAGGAACTGAGCCTAAAGATCAAATGATTTCGGTCATTGAAATTTAATCTAATAGCTAAAATTATTATAACTTTTAGAGGGACCTCTTATTTGTAGTTGTTGGATCAAATTTCAATGACCCGGATCATTTGATGAGTGGGCTCAGCTCTTTTGGATCCGAAGGAGATCTGGTTTCCTATTAAAGAATCATGTGTCCACCCACATGTCAAGAAACCCAAAAAGGTGTTGGTGATGGGCTCCACAATTGGGCTGCTGGGAGGGCTTAACATGCCCAGCCCAATAGCCTTTTGGCTATTCTTTGACCTGGTGGGTTCTCATTTTTTTGGCCCAACCTTTCATTGAAGTTGAGTATTGTGGCATTTCGGGTTAAAATTTGGCCTATAACCTTATAACCATACCCATTGGAGATGGCCCTCGTACCCTCAGGGATAGGGCTATATGTGTTCACGTACGTTGGAGGTCCATGCAAGCTCTATTTTCCCAAAATATGTAACTCATTAAGGACCTCAAGGGTCATCATCCATGTATACACAATGACTTCGACTTAAAAACATTTGATTCCTTTGCAACTTGGGCCGGATTTTGGCGTAGTGTTGGATGGTAAGAAACAAATTACTTATGTTATGAATAAACAAACAGAAGAGTAATATATATTTTTCCTTATGTGCTTGAAAGATGGCTATATGTGGAACATCCACTGGTCATGAACATACGTAAGGCGTGCTCATTGATTGCGAATTCCACATACCCCCGGTTGGCGCGGGTAGGCCTTCCCAAGCCAATTTTGTCCAATTTCGTACCTAATCTGATGATCAGAAACGCATTACAAGTTACCATTAACATTCATTTATAAAAAGATTAAGGGCGAGTCGGGGAAGAAGCAACCAGTACATGGTGCATCTACACATCGCCCCTATAATAGTAATCTTAGGAAGAACCACATTCCATTTGCTTTTTCATAGTAATTTTCAAGTATGTTGCACCTTTTCGAGAATCATTTCAAAACGAGCTCTATCAGTAATATGATTACCAGCATTTATAACAAAGAAAATGAACACAATAGCTTAACAAATGCTCAAGAAAACGAACACAACAGCTTAACAAATGCTCATTTCTCCACAATCATTTCCAAATGAGATCTATCAGTAATATGATTACCAACATTCATAACAAAGAAAATGAACACAATAGCTTAATGCATGCTCAAGAAAACAAGCACAACAGCTTAACAAATGCTCATTTTTCCACAATAATTTCCAAACAAGCTCCATCAGTATTATGATTATCAACATCTGTAGCTAAGTGAACGAGCACAATAACTTCACAAATGCTCATTTTACTGATCAACGCTAATCTAATTATAACCCTTAAAACAGAACAAACAAAAAAACTTGAACTAGTTACTCAAACTGCCACGCAGCTTCAATTATTGCCCAACGGCACACTTTTCTCCCGACCAACTTGCCCCAATTCTTCAAGGAAACCAGGCTTTTAGTGTAACTGAAGATGACGAGGTCTCGTCTTCTCTTCCCAGTCCAAAAATCATGCGTCTTATGGATTTATCTCTTATAGCTCAGAACCAAATGTAGTGGTGTGTAGGAAGACAATTTGTATAAGCGAAATATATGCCATGCTTCCATTCACCAAAAGTCTCAATTATAATATCAGTATCCTCGGATAAGGAAATATCCGCAATGGCCAAACATCATGTGCATCTGTTAGAATCAGAACGATCAAAACCTTGTAAAGGACGTGTCTGTTAAATTTTCAGAAACACAGACAATTTTGCAAACGTTAGCTGTATTGTCAAATCCCATGACGTACCACCTTTCTCTGCCGGGCATAACAACGTTGTTTATTGGTCCTTTGAGAGGATTGGCCAAGTAGCATGGACCTCCACTTCTCCTTTTAAAGCAAAACTGGTTGTAAGAAAACAAATTCTACTTCATATTAATGCAATTGGGAGAACATATTTGATGGATTATGGCTTTTTTAAGTTATATGAATGAGTGTTCAGCTAAGTTATGGGTATATTCAAGTTTCTCACTTAGGCTTATTAATTGATTTGCCCCTGAAACTGTAACTTAGTCTCATTTTACTCCTTAAAACTGGTTTTGTTTCACTTTCCTCCATGAAACTGCCATTTATGTCTCATTTGGTCTCAGTTCACTCTATTTTCGGCTATTCCATTACATCAATGTTAAATTAAAGGGTAGTATGGAAATTTTATTTTTGATTTAAATCGTTGCCTCCAACTTGCCTTCTAAAACAATCCCAAATCCATTTTCGATAACGCTAATTCAAACCCCGTCTGTTTCTCTTGCTGATTAATATGGAGTTGTAGTTGTAGTCATTGGCAAAAGCAAATAATGCATTGTGTTTCAAAAGCAAATAATGTGATGTGCTTCAAAATCTAATTTAAGACACTCATTGAATCAAATGGTTGCAACTATGATTCTACATTAATGTGCAAGAGAGACAAATGGGGGTTTGGATAAGAGTTATCAAAAATGGAATAAGATTGTTTTAGAAGGCAAGTTGGAGGCAAAAGAGTTGTGTCAAAAATAAAATATTCATAAAAGCCCCTTAATTTGACGTTTATTTAATAGAATGCACGAAAATGAGATGAACTAAGAATGAAATGACAGTTTCAAAAGACAAAGTGAGACGAAATAAGTTTTAAGTGGTAAAGTAAGACTAAATGATAATTTCAATGGGCAAACCAATTAATAAGGCTTCTCAGCTATTGTTAAAAGAAATTTGGAACTACAAACCTTCTCAGTTATTGTTATATGAAATTTGAAACATGTAGTTCCAAAAATTTCATAAAATAAGAAAAAAAATTATGAGTTCCTCAAAATTAAAACGACTGTGAAATTCCATTGTCATTTGGAATAAAAATAACAAACAATTTCCTATCCGAATCATTCGAAAATCATGCCTAGTAATTGTTTTACATGATTTTATATTTGAATTTCCCAAACTTTGATGAATAATACTTGACTAATAATTCATACTCAAAACTTTTTCTTCTTTAATTCATAGAATTTCGTATTTATAATAAAAATTATTCATATTATAAATCACTATAAATATTTTCTCTGCAAAAACCAATAAATTAAGGTCAATTAGTCATCGAACATTATAAAACAAATGACGAAAATAGTAAAAGTATTAGGAACCGTCTATGCATTTCTCACAGTTGATTAACTAAATGATCTCAATTTTCATCCATCTTATAAAGATGTGATCTTTACATAGTAAATTATACTATAAACAATTCGATTATAAGTACGAAGTTACGCATAAAAGTTTTTACTCATCATTAAATAGCAAAATATTGTTCAACTTTGTCTCTTTCCACCACCATGTGACCATGTCCCGCCAAACTCAACTTACCAAAAGAGTGAGCTTTCCTTTTAAAGCTCAACCCTCAATCCAAATGAAAAAGATGAGAGCTTTCTCTTGAGAGTTTCAGGGTTTTAGGGTTTAAGAAAGAAAATACATTTTGTTTTCCATGTATGGATGCTTAATTCCTCCAACTATGTCCTCCTCCTCCAAATTTCTCTCGATGTCCACAACCTTCACCATAACTTTCAGACTATCCTCGTCACCAAACACCCCCCCAATACCTTCACCCCTTCTCCCCATCCGCTCGAACCCCACTCTCACTCTCAGACTCCACCTCAACCACAAACCCAAGATCCAAATTTTTCAGAAACCCTCCAAAACCCACCAAAATCTCCACCGCCCCCTGTTTTCCGCGCCACCCAACAGCTCTGAGCCGCCGCCGGACAATCAGCTGGAGCATATAATAACTGCCCAAGAAGCCCTTTTGGAGCTTCTTCAAGAATTTGGAGCTTCTGAGGCGGAAGCTACCTTTGTTTCTTTGAATTCGCCGAGGTATTTGCGGATGTTGGTTGATGGGGTTGTAGAGTTGGATGAGCTGGGAATGTGGGGAGAGTGGGAGAAGGAGAGGAGAGAATTGGGTGGGTTTAAAGAGAAGGTGAGGTTAATGGCTAAGAAGAAGGGTGACAATGGAAAGGTTGCGTTTTTGGAGGGTGCGGTCGGGTTGAGTCTGTCTTCGGCTATGAATGTTGCCAGGCATTTATCAGCAGAGACGCTTCCGGGACTCATTGAGAAGGTAACAGCATTGTGATTCGTTATTTTTTGTTTAGTTGATGATTTGTTAGAAGTTTGTTCAATTGGAGTGTATTTATTCTGATTATATATTGGTGAACTTATCGGTTTCTTTTAGGATAATCCAGATTTTGATTATTGTGAACTTTTGATTCGTATTAGGACAATTTGTCAGAAACTGTCTTAGAGTAGTGGAAACAGAATGTTATTGATATAGTACAACAAAGGAAGGCAACACTTTGTTTAAGCGCGCTTATTGTAGGAACTGATCACATGTTCTTAGATTTTGATGGCTTATCTATGGCATGACCTCTTATCGACACTCAATATCCTGTACTACAACACAATTATCTATTCAAGTTTAGAACGTAATCTATGTGTTCCCAAAGAAGGGTGTTGATATGACATACAATGAGAACCAAATTTGTTCAAGGTTAAGAGGTTCTGCATTATTAGCATAAATATGCTTTCTTCATTATGTTCTAAGCTGGTGATTTTGTGCTCACTGGGAAGTATGAAAGAAAATGGCACGTTAGATGATATTACAAAGCTTTGAGAAGGTGCACCCTGATTAGTTTCTGCGCAGCACATGAAATTACAGTTATGAATTTGAGAGTTCGGTAATAAAGTTGAAATAGAACCACTATAGAAAAACTAGTGAAATGGACAATGAGCAGGAATTTGGTATTGATTCCCCAACATATGAATGTAGAAGTGAAATTATCGTTTAAATCTGTTGCAAAATGGTTTCTTATTTTGCATTTGGCTTATAGGTTAACAATGTGAAGAAAACATTCTTTTCTGACAGTAGTGATGGGGGGCTCATTGGGAAAAATGCTCGTCGTATGATGATGCACTTGTCAATTCCTATTGATGAAGACTTGCAACAAACCCTATCCCTTTTTGAAAAGGTCTGGTATGTCTCTTTCAAATCTTAGTAGTTCATGAATGTCAAAATGCAAGTTACTATTATTTCTTTTCTTTGTTACTTAAAGATTAATTTGCATTTGTAATTGTGTATCTGGATGACTTTTTCTTATTTTTTTGGTTGAATTTTCATTTCATGCTATAGATTGCAGCAAGGCGTGGAGGTCTGGATATGTTGGGCTCTGGGGATGCTGCTTTCCGTTGCTTAATTGAATCCTTTCCACGTCTTCTTTTATTGTCCTTGGATCCTCACGTGAGACCTATTGTGGAATATCTTGAAAATATTGGAGTTCCAAGAGAATGCATGAGAAACATATTTCTGTTATTTCCACCTGTTATATTTTGCAATGTTAAAGTCATCAAAACGAGAGTGCTTGCTTTTAAAGAGGTACTGCCAGCTTCAGCTCTGTTTCTCTTCATTTTAGTTTAGGCACAGAAAAATTATGTAACTTATACGACTTCAAATATGCAGTTACCAAAAACTTGCTTATTTCTGCAGCATTATGAACGATAAAAATACATGATCTCTTTCACCTGTGCACCTTTAGATTTATGAAATGTTCTGATCAGTAGCATGGCAAACTTTACTGAGATTATCCGTAAATTGTCATGAAATAGAATTATGAATTAGCATTTATACTTTTTTCTCATGCTATAAATTATGGGGTTCAAGAATGGATTTCATTACATTGTGGGGACACCTTTGGCTGCCTATGAATGAGCACTCCATGTATTCTTGTGCAGGTTGGTGTGGAAGAGAAAGATGTTGGTAAAATGTTGATTAAATATCCATGGATTATATCTATGAGCATTCAAGAGAACTTCAAGAAGGTTTCTTCATTCTTTGAGTCAGAGAAGGTACGGTATCCACCTAGCTCGTGTTTTCATTTTGGCTAAATTTTCCAACAAGAATGACGATTGACATATTTTTTTTAAGGGCTAAATGTGAATTATGGTTCATAACAGGTACCAAAATTGAGTGTTGGTCGTGCAATTAGAAGCTGGCCTCTTATTTTGGGTTGCTCAACCAGCATGCTAACATCGATGGTTGAACAGATAGGTGAATTGGGTATTAGAAACAAGAAGTTGGGTCAGGTTATTTCCAGAAGTCCTCAGCTATTGATACGGAAACCTCAAGAATTTCTTCAGGTAGCTAATTTTTGTTCAATTCATATTTTCACAAAATGTTACAAATGTTTTCCGTATATTCATGAACATTACCTCATGACTTCTTCCTGTTTAGATGTTAGTGAAGATCATACTTGTCTGGCTATTTCATAAATTTCCATGGAATATGAAATTCCAGGAATTTGTTGGGTGACACAGTGCCATATACGTTTCTTCCAGTTTCATGCTTTATATTGCTAGCCCATACTGCTTGGTTCATCAAATGGCCATAAAAGACTACGTTGAACTGGCACAAATTTGAATAAGAATATACTGTATTTGAAACCATTAGGATGCCTTGTGTATGTGCTGAGTTTGCGAATTTTATGGTAAACTGTGGTAGTGTCCACAATATGCCCCGTGACAGATGCCCAGAATGTGTAAACACTGTTAAGTTTTGTTTTTAATCATGATACTTCAGAGAAGTTAAAGCTAATACACACTTTAAATACCCTGAAATCACCCCGACCATATTTCATAATATTTGGCCTGGTCTCACTTACTCAATGTAATCAACGTTGGTCCAACTATGGTGATGAATGGGGAACACAGAGCCAAGAATCCCCAGTGCAGGTTCGGCTTGTAGTATGCATGTTGTTATGTGACCTAATCCAATTACCCATCATTTCAAGTTGGTCCCACAGTAGAGAGTTAATCTCATCCAATACACTGCATTTCGGTATACTTTACCACTTTCTCTGTGAAGACTTTGGTCTCTGTGAAGACTTTGGGAACCATGAATATATGTGACACAGTTTCTTGAGTCCGGTTTTAACTGGTATAATTGTTTTTACAGGTAGTTTCGTTTGTGGAAGATCTAGGATTTGATAAAGAAACAGTTGGGAGCATACTGGGCCGCTGTCCTGAAATATTTGCTGCCAGCATTGACAAAACTCTCAATAGGAAGCTTGAATTTCTTGCTAGTATCGGTGTTTCCAAACCCCACCTTCCTCGGGTTATCAAAAAGTATCCAGAGCTTCTTGTCTCTGACACTGATAGAACTTTACTTCCTCGGTAGGGCTCTTTTCATTTAAAATTTGCGGCTATCCTGTTCTTTGTGAAATGTGAATTAATCTATTGTACCCTGGACTAAAGTGGAGAATTTGGTGGGCAGGATGAAGTATTTGATAAAGAAAGGGCTGTCGCGGAGGGATATTGCATTCATGGTCCGTAAATTTTCACCTATACTGGGGTATAGCATTGAAGAGGTTTTGAGTCCGAAGCTTGAATTCCTGATAAACACAATGGAGAAACCGGTGACGGATTTGGTAGAGTATCCAAGGTACTTCAGTTATTCATTGGAAAAGAGGATAAAACCAAGATACTGGGTGCTGAAGGGAAGAAATATTGAGTGTAGCTTAAGAGAAATGTTGGCTAAAAACGATGAAGAATTTGCTGAAGTGTATATGGGTGTTGGTAGCATGCTTGTTCCTCCTCCCCCCTAGATGAAGTGAGAGGAGCCTATCTTCTTTTTTTTTTTTTTTTGACAAAGCCATACACTAATCGAGGGGAACGAGGACTCGAACTTGAGTGCAAGGAGGTAGGTCGGCACACAGCATTGACCAACTGGCATGTTTTCACATTAGCGACGATTGTATGTTCTTAGTTTGTAAATAATAAACCACAGATATGTACACAGTTTTGTTGTAATATTCAATGTATGGTAGCCCCCTTGCCATTATTTTTTTTAGTTCCTTTTTTTCTTTATTATTTTCATAATGCTGGGTTCTGCCAAAGTTGTTTTATTCCAATATACAAAGGACAACAAAAACCAGTTGATACGAAATCCAAGTATTTTGATTAAATCTCAATTGCTCGCTAGTGAAAAATAACTGCTTGCTCGTGAAACACTAAGGTATGTATGAGATTTGAAAGTAAAGTTTACACTATGAACGATGCAAACTATTTTTTTTTTATAAATAAAAAGGTGTTAATGCATGAAAAAGGAGTTTGCGCTAGAATTGAAATAGAACACGGAGAGGAGGCTCCAGAAGCATAAAATACTCTTGAAAATATGAGTTTTCTAACCAAAGAGCCAAGTAGCTCCATGCAACACTAATAATCCAAAGATATTTTGTTTGCAGCAGCCAAGTATACCACAAGACACTTGTTAAATGTAAAAGCGATCTGAAAAGGTGAATTGTAAAAACTCATTTTCAGATAAAAGGTGGTAGATTAGTCTATTTTCTTAAAATGTGTGTGTCAGCTCACGTCTAAAACTTTAAACGTGAAATGCATATGCATGTACCAACTCGACTTGAGTTGAATCACATCCATTTACACTTTGATCTTTAACATCTCAAAATTCAATAAATACCTTAAGTCTAAACTTGTACAAATTGATCTAAAGAGCTTATGTGATAAAAGAGAGGAAAGTCAAATACAAACTTCACAATCTGCCCATTTAGCTTTTGTGATAAAACAACCTAAAATAAAAATAACTTCGCACATCACACTCAAGAGGACTTCAAAGGTATAAAACATGCACATAACAATTCTTGAAAAGAGAAAATGAAATTTATCAAGGCTTATAAATCAACATTTTTCTCCTGCATTTTGTCAAAGGAAGACAAAGTGTCATGTTAGAATATCACATGGAAACTTAGGCTTATCACGTTGATATATGACTACAAGAATTCTAGCATGACCCTAAATTTGTATGATAGACCAACTCAAACTGGTAAGAGTAAACTAGCAACAAGTAAGCACAAGTCATGCAAACAATCTCAAGTAAAGCACAAATCATAGAAAAACCGCAAAATAGGAATGAGAAAATACAACTTTTAACACAAAGTCCTAAAAGGAAACCCGCTTCTCCAAAATTAGTGTTCTCATCAAAACACTACACTCTCTTATAAGATGTGCTTTCACAAAAATGTACTCTCCCAAAAGTTAGACTCCGCTTAACCTAAACTAAATTAGCAACAACATATTGTCTAGTCATCATCCTAGTCATCTTCCACTTAAAACTCATGATCAATTGCCTTGGCGGCTCTGCCTTTGGGAACGTACATGGCCGGCAATTCCTCGTCGGTGAGAAGAGAAATGTTTGATGGTCCAAGAGAGACAATAGGTTCTTTGCTATATCGTAACTCACGAGAAAGGCGAGCCAACTTGGACTAAAAGACAAGACATTTCTTGAGATTGAGCCATCGGATGCGAGGATGGAGCACAAGGCATAAGATTAATCAAAAAGGGCAGAAGAATCCTTATATGCAACTATTAAATATTCAGGCATGGTAAAATCAGGATCAATACTGACAAAGTTGTCGAATGGTGAAAACCTAAGATATGTGACTGAGATAATGCCATGTCATCCTAAAAAATAGCATTTCTTACAAATTGACAAGGGCAAATAATCTAAATAATCCTAAAATTTGACTTATATCTGACTAGAAATGTTCACTAGCCAGAAGAGAAATACAGAACATTTGTGAGAAGTTTTGTGGGCTAACACAATACTACGTAACCAAACAACAACCACAATGGCTTGGACAGGCAGCCCACAATAAACATGAATCGGAGAGTGAGCGAAGATGAGCATCAGTCTCAGCACCAGTTGTATCCTTAGAGTCAGGGGCAAATTTGTCATTTTGTACACACACACACGCACTCTCTCTCTCACACACACACACATACACACATATATATATATATATATATATATATTAACTCCATTAAAGCCGGAGGTGGAGGTGGTTTCCCAAAATAGAAACCAGGTTTGTATGACCCATTTCCCTGCTAAATGACCAGTTGTCTGGGCAGGTTTTCTGGACAATTGTCGACAACGAGGCTCGTCGTAGCCAGCACTCCACGAGCCACTTGACCCTGTTTGACTACCGTTTCACGGCGAATTGAGTTCAATGGTGCCGAGCTACCCCGACAACGGTCTCACCATTCCAGCCACCTCGACATCACCTCTACCATCAGTCAATAGTTTTGGACCCTAGAAGGGGATCCTTGGGTCCTAATCCCCCATCAAAGCAACTATGGCGACTTGACAAAGGCACACGTACTCGGACGATCGACGGTTCCATGGTGGTTTTTGCCTTCCTTTGGTCAAATCCAGACATTGTTACAGATATAAAACTTGATCCTATTCTCAAGATCTACTTACTAGTAAAATTTGAGACAAATAGGTGATAATAAAAAAACTCGGCAAGGTTTGGCCACTGGCTGTCGTATGCGGCCACGATGCGTAGCCTGAGAAACCACTTCTTCCTCCTAGGCTAAGCTCGATACTCTAATTTTATTTTTTAACATTCGTTTGATGAAATTACATCGTTTGAGCCTAATTTCAAGAAGGTCCACCACTTGACCTTTGTAGTAAACGAAGATCTAACTATCAAATCTTCACCAATTCTAAAAATGTTGTACAAATTATTTAAGGATCTTTGGAATTTACAGATCGAAAATCCAATGTACAAATCTTCCAAATTGAAGAATCTTAAATTATTGACCCTTGTAGTAGGCGAGGATTAGACATTGGATCTTTATGAAATTATAGTACGTGATGTATGTAATATTTGAGAATCTTAGAAATTTATGGAATGAAAATCCGATCTACAGATCCTTCGAATTTGATTACATAGGGTTGTTGACCATCCACTGGCCACGTTGACCGAGGATTAACTTTTGGTCAAATATTCTAAATCGCTTTTAAATTTTGAAATTAGTATTACTAGAGACCCAATAGAGTTTAGTAAGTCTACTCCAGTAAGTGGGCCATTTTGGGATGTGCACTTCGATTTATGTGCAAGTAGCACCTTGTCGTGATATACGTGTTTATTGAATTTCTAGGTGATATAAATGTTATGTAGGATTACTATTATGAAAATGTGAGCCTGGAACCCTATTAGAAGTATATTGTAGGATTTGTGTGCCTATATGACCAAATATTTAGTTGTCATGAGAAATTGTAGTGTATGTGCTCACATTATAAATCATAGGTGTTGATGTAAGAAGTAGGTCATGTGATGACGTGACAGCACCATGTAGTAGTGGTACATGGATGGTTCTCGCTAATTAATCCGCATTAGGGGATTATACTTATTGTAGGGGTGACTTTGCTTTGTTAATCCGCATTGGGGACTCATTGTCTACTTGGTTACATTACTTCCATAAATGGTATTGTTTGGTACATCCACATTTGGGGACCACATTATTGGACATATACATTGGTTATGCCTGATTAATTGGCACTGGGGGGACCATACGCACTATATAGGCGACTCCGCTTGGTTAATCCGTAATGGCGGGTCACTGCTTACATGGTCATATGATGTGCATAGGTGGTCTAGCTTGGTTAATCCGCATTAGGGGGTCACTGCCTACTTGGTTATATGATGTTCATAAGTGGTCCTGCTTCGTTAATCCGCATTAGGGGGTCACTACCTACTTGGTTATATGATGCTCATGAGTGGTCCTACTTGGTTAATCTGCATTGGGGGACCATACGTATCATAAGGGTTATTTGTTAATCCGCACTGGGGGACAGTACACATCATAGGGGCGACTCTACTTTGTTAATCTGTATTGGGGGGTCACTGCCTACTTTGTTAAATGATGTTCATGGGTGGTCTTGCTTAGTTAATCTGCATTGGGGACCACATTATTTGATGTATGTCTATGATCCTGCTTGCTTAGTCCATATTAGGGGGACAATACGCATTATAGGGGTAACTCTACTTGGTTAATCTACACTAGAGGGACACTGTATATTTGGTTATCTTGTTCGCATAGGTGATCATTATTGGTTAATCTGCATTGGGGACTACACCTTGGAGCCATGCTTATGGTTCTACTTGGTATATCCACAATGGGGGTCCATACGCATTCTAAGAGTGATCATGCTTGGTATGTCCACATGGGTGATCATACCTAGTATTATAGGATAGGGTCCTGCTTGGTTAACCATGATGGACGATTGTTTCCTAGTTGGATTCCGTTGAGTGGTACAAAATTTCAATTCTCATTTTATTCCGTTAAGTTAGTCTGCGACCCTAGATTCTTGTGAATAGAAATTACTCAGAAAAAATTCTTGTGTCTGCAATGTTATTGCTTGGAATTCATATATGAAATTAGAGAGATTTACTTTATTAAATTTCGTGAATCGATACTTGATCTTATTAATTGATTAATGTAGCTATATTATGCATATTTGAGTCATTAATCGATTATTTCCTGTGATTGTAGAACTGTGTTGGAAAACACTATGATATGCGTGAATGAAGAAATGACAATTTTGATTATTTCATGGTCATAAACAACCTGGAATTTAGTGATTCATGTTAGTCGAGTTTCATTGAGTGATTCTGGAATTCTAAATTTTTCTATTGGACAATACCAGGAGAAAGTTTGGGTCAATGAACTACGAATGACCTGATCATTGATGCGAGAATTATACGCACACAAATTAAACCCTCTTTTTATCAATTGTAGTAAGTATGTAAGTAGGGATCGTTCTTAACCGGGGATTAGGAGGGATTGCAAATCACTTGGAAACTGACTCAAAAACGTAAAATAAAGTTTAAAACACTAAACTAGACTCAAAGAATGCGAGACTAAACGCTTAAAACACTAAAACAAACCAAAAGACTCAAACATCACCCAAAACACTCAAAACTGCCTTAAAAACACTTTCTGGGCAGTTTTGAGCACCTTGGTGAATTTGGACGAATTTGTGCAACAAATTGAATCAAAACACTTATAAACACAAACTAAGACACTTTCTAACTAATTTGGACAATACAAAGACTCAAGGGACTCAAAACAAGTTCAAAAGACTCAAAACTGCCTAAAAACACTAACTAGGCAGTTTCTGACCTTAAACCCAATTTTGGACGAATTTAAGATTATGGCTTGATTCAAAACATTTTAAAACATAAACTAAACAGATTCTAAGCACTAAAGAACAAGAAAGTAAAGGGGGGGTTTTGATTTGACGAAAATTGAAATAACAAAACAAGTTAATAAACTAGGCAGAATTGTAAAACGAATTCCTTGAAAACAAGATAATGGATGGATTAGTTAGAGGTCCATTCTCCACACAAGACACATTTGTATATGAATCGATTCTCCAATTGCTTTTCAGTAACTATGATGCTCAACACCCCAAGTTAACCGTGATGCACTAATTAACTCTCAAATTTTCCTTATGTTATTGAATTGGATGATGCATGCGACAATTCAAATCATTCTCCAATGGTTCTCAACATGAATGCATAGAAGAGATACAATGAGAGATCATTATGCTCTATGAAAATTATAAGTGTTGACGAGGCAATTGTAACTATGAATGCATGATACTCTTGCCAAGAATTCAATTAACACGGTTGTGACTAGCAACCTTCACTACTCATGTTTATAAACTTGTGACGATTAGGTGAAACTCGTTTATAAACTAGCATCGAGTTTAAGCATGAAGACTAAGTATGCATCCCTAATCAACATACAAAAACAAGTTTTTAATGAACAGATAATTGAATTGCAATCACAACTTAACAAATCACAATTGGAAGAAATCAATTCATATTTCAAACATGTTCATGGCTTCAAACTTTCCCCTAACTAATTAGGGGTTTAGCCACTCATGATTACAACAAACTTAGAGAGTAATAACAAAGTAAACATTGAAAACAAGAATCGAAGTACACCTAAAAATTCCAACAACTCAATCTTGAATTGTATGAACGTTTAAGCCTCTTCTCCTCTAGTTGCTGCAGCACGAGGGGTTTTGGTGAGTTTTGGGGGTTATGGATGATGTAGAATGATGTGTTTAGGGTAGGGATGGATGTAGGGGAAGGCAAGGAGTGTTTTTGGGCAGAAAATATGAAGAATGGTGAAGAATGGCTGTGTTAGAGAAAGGGAATGAATTTCTGGCGTGAATGAATGTGTATGAGAGGTGGTGATCTGATCTAGGGGTTAATATGAGTATATATAGGCACTTAGGACCCTAGGGAAATCAGATATGGACTTGAATTAATTAATGGGAGAGCATGAGAGTGACAGCTAGGGTGAATGATTAAAGGCAAAGTGCATGTGGCTGATTTGTGGTGCAATGATGAAAGGCAAAGTGCATGTGGCTGATTTGTGGTGCAATGATGAAAGGATGGAAGTGCATGTGGCTGCAATGGATTAAAGGATGGGAGTGCATGTGGCTGCAATGGATTAAAGGATGGAAGTGCATATGGCTGCAATGTAGCCTTCTAGAAATCATGTTTTTAGGCCCCCTTGCAACTCCCTAACTGAATTCAAGCCTTTCAAATTCGTCCATCCTCATGCCTCCATGCTTGCACTATCCAATCTTGGCCCAAAAATGCTCTAGAATGCTCCAAATTGCTTCTTTTTGCATACTTTGACACTAAAACCTGAAATTGCACGAAAATAACTTTAAACACTATAGTTAACATAGTTTAGCTAATTAAATGCAAGAAAACAAGCTAACTAAGTCGTATAAATATGCTCCTATCAATCATGCCTTAGGGTATGTAAGCAATCTAACGCAGAGGTTAGATGCAGTTATGATATAAAAGAAATGTTACTACGTTGTTGAGGCTTTGATTTATGTTTTGGTCATGTCTCAAAGGCGAGACATGATGGATGACCAGGTATGTGGCGACATCCCGTGCCAATCTTGGATGTACCTCGGGATGGGGGTGTGGCACGAGGCATCTAATTGTGCTTAGATAAATTGATAAATATAGAGTTGTAAAAAAAAATTAAAATTTCATCACGAATATCAAATGAGTAAATGGTTACGAATGAGTTGATATTGCACAAAACTAGTATATACACATAGCCGTAAAAATAATGATTTGAATCATCATAAAAGGAAGGGTAAATTACGGTTTGATGCATGAACTATTATCCCAGTTAAAAATTGAACCACCCAGCTTTATTGTAGTAAATTAATCCTCTGAACTATTTGAAATCAGCCAATTAACTTCTTGTTGTTTGGTTCTATTTACTATTCTGTGAAATTCAAGAGCAAATTAGACTTTTCATCATCAACTTGTCAACTATACCTACTAATAAAATGATGACATGTGGACATGTAATAATTCATAAACTAATAGCATAATAAGAAAACATAAAAAAATCAAACATTTACATAACGGACGATTTCAAATTGTCATTACATATTATTATGTGTCGTACACATCATAGTTTTATTGGTGGTCATAGGTGACAAGTAAGAACTAATGATCGAAATATTAATTTCCCATTGAATTTGACGGAATAGTGGACAAAATCTTACGTTGAGGGACTAATTGGCTGATTTCAAATAATTTAGGAATTAATTTACCAAAAAATAATTAGAGGGTCAATTTCGACTAGACAAAGTGGCAAAAAGACAAATTTTTTTTTTTTTAACAAACGATATTATCTACACTAAGAAAGTAGGGATAGTGAGCTAAGTACTGGCTTCTCCTAGCTTAACTCAAAAAAAAAAGTGAGTATAAAAAAAAGTTGGGAAGTTTTTTGGTGTTTGGTAAATACTTCAAATTAGCTTTTTTTTCAAAGTTTTGAATTATAAAAAACCAAAACCTCAAATCTACAAAAAGAAGCTTAAAAAAACCAGCTTATTTTGAGAAACACGGGTGAACGGTAAACTCATTAATGAATTTTTCAACACTACCCTCATTTCTCATGCCTTCCTTTCTCACGTTATCGGACTCTCGCATGCCACTCTCACAGAACCCTTGTAGAACCAGATCTGAAAAAGGGTGTCTTCTCCCACCGATCTCTCTCGTTCTCGACGTCGTGTTCTCCTGGCTTGGCCTCCTTCCTCTAGTAAGCTTGTATTCTCATAATTTTCGTTATTTATTTGTTTGGATTTTTGAATTTGGGGATGGGAGAGTCTGAGTTAAATAAGGGAATGAGGTCTGGGATGATGCTGACAAAAGAAATTGGGGAGGGAGATTTGGAGGGATAGTGTTAGCAAAAGAAATTGGGGAATGAGGTTTGAAGGGATGGTGTCGCCAAGTCAGGAAGTTTTTCTCTTTTTTAAAAAAAAAAAAAGATTAATTTTTCTTAGAAGGGATTACAATTGGTGTGATGTTGCTGCTTTACTTGTTAGAAGGGGATTACGGTGGTGATGTGAGTTTTTGTTGATTATTTTTTTAGATTAATTTTGTTGGTTGTCATTATTTTCTCTCTGAATTGCACTCAATTGCTTTTTCAGGGTTTACAGGGTTTGTATATAAAGGGGAAAAAGTTGCTGCAAAGATTATGCATGTCTTGTGGCTGAAAAAAAATGAGAGATATACATGTCTTTTGTATCAAAGGTCCAATATATTTCCGTGTCTTGTGGCTGGAAAGATAAGACTATGCTTATCTAAGGTCCTATATACTTTCATGCTCCTGTCCTTAGGGACTTTAAACTAGCTGAGAATTTCACTTCACTAGAGATTCATTCAATTTGCAGTCACACACATTATCAACTGGTAGAGATTGATACACATTGTATATGTCTAATTCAAATTTAATAAAAATTGACTATTAATAGTGGTCCAGTAATTAGCAAAACTAGTACTCTCTCATAAATGGTGGTCTAGTAATTAGAATAAATGTTCATTATCCTTTTAGTAATTCTCATAAATAGTGGTCTATAAAATGGTGGTATATAAGTGGTGGTCCAGTAATTCTCTCATGTTTTGTACTCTCTTATTAGTTTTGTCTTGGTTGTGTTAGAATATCATTTGTCCTTATTTTAAAATATATGCATATATACATATCACTTATTGGTACCAATGGCAAAGAAGGGGGCATCTTCATCAAATCCTCCAGCTATGTGGGATGCCCACAATATATCTATATTTTGTGATGTATGCATCAAGGAGGTTGAGGCCAGTAATCGTCCAGGCACTCACTTTAACAAACAGGATATGTAAATATTAGAGTTAATTTCAAGGCAGAGTAGGGCATAATTATGAAAAAGCACAACTAAAAAATAAATGGGATGAACTTAAAAATGAGTGGAAGTTGTGGAAAGAGCTAGTTAGTAAAGAAACTGGCTAGGGTGGAATTCGAGCAAGGGTATTGTTGATGCCTCGGAGGAGTGATGGAATAATAAGATTCAGGTACGTGTACTCATCTTTTAATATGTCTATAATAATATCATGCAATATACTAACAGTATTCTTTCTTACTTGTAGATAAACAAAAAATATGGAAGGCTGCAGAAAAAAGGGCATTAATCCTGATATGGAGGACAAGTTAGATATGATGTTTTTGTATACAATTGCTATTGATGAACATGCCTAGGAACCTTCTTCTGAAGTACTAGAGACAAGAGAGGAATCTATAGGACAAATTGATTTAGATTATGAGGAAGAATTTGAGACAATTTAAGATATAAGGCAAGCTACTAGGAAAGGAAAAAAAAAAGAGTGGCTGACCAAGGAGACTTGCCAAAGAAGAAGGCTGATAAGAAAGGAAAAAAAATTAAAGGTGCTACAAAACTTTGTGGTTAAATTGACTGTCTTGTTGAAATTTATGAGAGTAGGAGTATTGCAAACTCATTGATGAGGCAATTGCATATAGGCAGTAGTCTTCCAAAAGTGATTGTGGCTATTGCAAAATTGCCTAGGTGTGAGCCACCTAGTGAGTTATGGTTTGCTACTTGTTTGTTTTGTAGTGCAGAGAAACAAGAGATGTTCGCCATAGATGAAAGATCTTGAAGTCTGGCTGGCTTTGTTGAAATTTATGTTCAACAACCAATAAGAAGTTGAAACTATGGATTAGGATTATGTGTTGCTTGTATTTTGCATTTGGACTGTGTGTTGGATGTTACTTGTATATTGTGTTTTTGAATGTTTGATTATGTGTTGAACATTGGATTATGATTTCTTGTTGAACGTTGGATTATGACTTGTTGAATGTGAAATTACGATTTCTTGTTGAATGTTGGATTATGACTGTTGAATGTTGGATTATGACTTGTTGAATATGAAATTATGATTTCTTGTTTAATGTTGGATTATGACTTATGTTGTAGGTGCATATTGAATATGAACACCCTTGATGATGATGTTGTGGATTTGGAGGATGGTCTAAGTATATGTGATGTAGCGAGAGATATTGAAACATATTATTTATAATATGTCCATAAAACTCCGTGTATAAGTTCTTCCCAAACAAGTAATATTTGGTTGATGTAAGTACTACAAAGGAATGATGTGCGATGCTATAAAATGTTTAGGATGAAAAAAGATGTTTTTTATAGATTACCCAATGACTTGCAAACTAATATTGGGTTGAAAGGTTTAAGGAGAATGAATGCAACTGAAATATTAGGAATGTTCTTGTACATGTTCGAGCATGCTGTGAAATGGATTAGCGCAAAAGAGATTTCAGCATTCCAATGAGACTGTTAGTAGATGTTTGGTGCTATGTTGGATATTGTATGTAAGATGGCAACAAATATTATCCAATGTAGCGGCCTACGCATTAGACAGTGAGTTGCTACCACGACTTGTCCTTAATTAGTCCCAAAATCAGAAAGCTTGTTAGGCAGCTTCTTGGGCAGAGTTAGGCAGGGTTAGGCGGGCCTAGACGAGGATCTATGGAGAGCTATGCAGACCGATCGGCTCTTTCGAATAAGACGATGGCTTGTATGCATGGTGTCTTTTTTGGCAAAAATTGTCGGTTGCTGTTTGAGTTTTTTATTGAATCCTTTTGTTTTAAGGGTCCACCATCTTCTTCATTCTATGTCTTTTCGTTTCTTTTTTTTAATTGTTAAATTTTCATTTTTATTATTTGTTTTCTCTTTTAAGACCCCACTATATCTCACCAATAATATCTATTTTTTTTTTTTACATTTTGTTTTGACTATGTCTATACTACATAGTAATAGTACACTTTTTTTGTCAATTAAAAACTAAGAAACATACAAGTATAATTTTTTTTTAAGTGTAAATAGTTATTTATATATATTTATTTAAATTCGTCTAGTATGCCTAGACCTCGCATAGGCGTTTAGGCATTAGACCCCAGCCCGCTGCCCAACTAGCATCTCACGTCTTTTAGAACATTGATTTGTCACACCGATGGATTTAGAGTTTTGTGCATTCTCGAAGAAAAAGGAGAGATACAAGATACATGCCTTATTTTAAGGTAAAGTTTGACTCTTCTTCTAATTTCTTTGCAAACTATAAGTGTAGGTTGACAATTTTCTTCTATGTTATTATTTTAGGATTGTATTGGTGCTAGATGAAGTACCTGTTGATGCTTCAATACGACCTCCGGCTTAAGTTCCATAAATTGGTAGGAAAAGAAGGCCGACTCAAAAGGTTATGGCTGCATGTAGTTTTGATATGCAATTCACACTTGCTTGTGCCGGATGGGAAAACACTGCACATGATACAAGAGTTTTTCTATCCGTGCTACGGAATCCAAATTTAAATTTCCCTAAGCCTCCAAATGATAATCTTCATACTTGTTATTTTGCTGGAATCTTCATATTTATTATAACATTTTACGTACTCACTTTGTATAATTATTACATTAGAAAACAAAATTTTTCAATTTCTCAGGAAAATATTATTTGGTAGATGCAGGGTACCCACAAATGAGAGGTTATTTGGGACCATATAAAAATGAAAGATATCATCTCCCGGGCTTCTGTAGGGTGCCCAACTAATGGGTCATAAAGAGGTATTCAACTACAAACATTCTTCTCTTAGTAGCATCATTGAACGAACATTGGGAGTATGGAAGAAAAGGTGGGCAATTTTAGGAGATATGCCTAATTACCCGTTCAATAAGCAACTGAAGGCTCTTCATAACTACATATATAGGTATTCTGAACGTGATTGTCACTTGATGACCCTAATGACTTTTGTGAAGAGAGCGATAATGATGATGATGATGATGAGTACTGTGATTATCAAGTTGAAAAATCACATGATATAGAAGCATTAAGAAATAAAATAGCGGCAAATTTGATGAATACATCTAATTAGACTACTTTCAAGTACATCAACAATATTGTATTAATGAATCCTAGCTACTGAGTCTAAAATATTTCTATATATTGAAGTATCTTGTCTTACTAATTAATATTTGAGATAAGTTTATAAATATTTAAAAATAGAATAAAGTATATTTAGTAATTGACCTTTATTTGTTAAAAAGTTAAATTAATAGAACATCCAATACTATATCATTTCAGATAGTCACAGTTATTTTACATAAAAATTTACTAAATACTAAAACACTATTTTTTTTTTTGGCTAAAAGTACGTTTATAAAAAAGTTTGTCAAACACTCTACTACTTTATTTCACAGCATCTTAGTGTCACAACACAGCATAAATAGTTTTTTTTTTTTTTTTTCATGGCACATCAATACTAAACTAGCCCTAAGTCTCACAATAGGCAAACCTTCAAATTCGCTTTTGGTGAAAATCGAACCTTAGACCTCTCACTTACAAGTGAAGTGGAATATCATTGGACAGTAGTACTAAGTGGAGTAAGCCCAATACTAACTCTATTTCGCCACTCAATATTTTAGTCTAGTGATATTCCTCTTCACTTATAACTTATAAGTGAGATATCTTATGTTCGAATCTTGTGGATGAAGAATTCGATACCAAATTAGATTACCCATTGTATAACTTAGCCGAACTTTTCCCTCCCTTTAATATAAAATATATCATTGTACTAAAAAAATCCTCATTTGTCATAAAAAAGATTAAGATCCCTTTCATTAAGGTACCGTTTGGTACGCAAACGGGATGAAACGGGACAGAATGGGACGGAATGGAATAGACGGAGGTTCGTGCTACATTTGGTGTACACTCAGACCAGAATAAAATGAAGGATTAAATGACAATTGTACCCATCCACTTTGATGAGTTCGACCTTACCTGAGCCACGGCCGACGAGTTCAACGTCATCCCTCACATCTTCCGTCTAATCCTCACTGTCTCATCCCTCGAACAACAGGGTCAACCACGTCCTGCGAGTGGATGGTCTTGAGGTTTTTGTAACGATGGTCTCGTCGTGGGACTAGCAAGGTAGAGGGAGGCAACGGGAGGAAGGTGGGGTTAGGTTCGGATGGGTTTAGCTTGGGTTGTTGGGTTTGTGGGGACGAAGGAAGAGGTTACAAGAGAAAGGGAGGGTAGAAGAGAGGGAGGCTACGGGGGAGAGGGTAGATAATGAAATTAATGAAAAAGATGAGGGGTATTATTGTCCGAAAAGTTATAATTTTGTGTTCCATGGTCTGGAACAAGTCGTTCCAGGGGGAGGGTGGCATAAAAAATTGATTAAAATTCGTTCCACGGGACAGCACATCCCAGACAAATTGGTGCACCAAACGTAAGACGAGTGCGTTCCGTCCTGTCCCATCCCACGTACCAAACAATACCTAAGGGATTTGATTCCCACCAAATTATTTGTATGGAATATATTTCATTTAATATATCTGTGTGGATTTTTATGTTATTTTGGAATAATGAAATCAGTTGATTTAGAAGGAAATTAATTAATTAATATCATACTTTTCAGTTTTGAAGCCGACAGCAGCAGACGTGGCACCCGATGACAGGACCACTGACATGGCATCATCCAATTGGGTCGCTGACATGGCATTTTGCCACGTGTTAAAAAAAGGGAATAAAACAGTCACAGTGCCAAACGTGCAGTGACATTCTTGATCAAATCCCCCCACCCAAAAACTCACTTCACTGGTGAAATTTTGTCTCTCTCCCTCTCTCTCTCCCTCTAAACTCTGTCTCTGTGAAAAGTCTACGAGTTCACCTCCCCCAGGAGCTGTTGAAACCCTAACCTAATCTCTCTGCAATCACATTGATACATTTGACTCGTTCACCGGTAAGAATCTCTTTGATCTCTATCTCTGCAATTCTCGTTTTTCGGTTGCTGTTTTGGTTGTGGTAGAGATCTTAATAATCGCTTTGATTCGGAGCCCTCAATTTTCAAATTTAGGGTTTTTGCATTTGGATCTCGTCAGGTTTTATGCGAATTTTGTTTGAATTTTACATTTTTAATTTTGGTTTATTTGTGTGCCGAGAAAATGAGGCTGAAGGTGAGAGATTGGGCTTTTGTTTGGATCATTATTTCGTTTGTTGTGTTTCCTCTCTGATTGCATTGTTTCTGAAACCGAATTTGGCATTTGAATAGCTGTTGTTGTCCTGTTTGGGTTTGGAACTGATCAGTTTATTCTAGTGAATAGGACTGTGGTTTCACAAATGGAGTAAGTTTGTTTGTTTGATGTGTTGTGTGTCAGAAATGCTGATTTTCGTTATGGGGCTTGAATGTTTTATGATGAATAGGAGATTTAGTTTATTGTAATGAAAAGGTAGCTCATTTGTGTCATTTCTGATACATCAATCCAATTCCTTTCCCTTTGTGATTTTTCATTTTTTTATGCTATTTTTTCGATAAATGTAACATGAAGAAAGAAAATTTTCATAATATAGTCTACAAACTAATGGATTTTTCTTAAACAGCGAAGTGGCTTGGCGTTAAAGGCTGAAATTTTGAGTTCTTGGGAGGGGAACAGAGTAGTTTTTGGGTTTGAGACGACTAGTGGACTGTTCTTACTTGTATGAGGTGAAGTGCGTGAAGTACTTTTTCCTGGCTGAATTAGATCTTTCAAAATTCAGCGTCCAGGTTCAGGGGGCGACTTGCCCCAAGGTGGCGAGTACAGTCCTTTTCCTGTAGCCCGGAAGGTGAATTCCATCCATTCTGTGGTCATGGATGTTGATGTGGAGGGTGGTAATTTGGGGCCTTACCAAGACAGGCCGAGGACATTCCCTAACATGCGTGGTAAATCTTACAACCCATTGGTAAGAATGTTATACCCCTTTTTAGCACCTGGTTTTTAGTTCGTGTCTGTTTAGTGCAGGAAAAACTTAAATTGCTAATGTTATTATCTAGGCACATTTTGTCTTTTTTTGTTTGTTTTGCCTTGAATTGAGAGAAAAAGTTGAGAAAAACAATATCCACTTCGGTGGTGACAAGGATTTGATGGATGCAGGAAGTCGCAATATAATTCATATGGGGCAACAGCTGTACATTGAAATTGTTCATAATAATAACCATTTATGTAGGCTAGATATTTGAACTTATCTTTACATGTTTTTTTTGTGTTTTTTGGCTTGGCACCTTGGTTATAGGAAGCAAATTAGTGCATGCTTATGTCGACCTACATGATACTATGAACATATATGAAATTATTTTAACACTTCCATAAGTGAATTCTTATTCCATTGTACGTTTGCGCAGATTTTCCGGATTCTGATGCGGATAAATGTCCGTGTTCTTTTTGTTATTTTACTTCTTGCACTTGGAGTGGTCTTTTACGTTGGAGCAAGTACTTCCCCTATCATTGTATTCGTCGTCTCAATTTGTATTATCAGCTTTTTGGTGTCTATGCACCTGGCTAAATGGGTTCTTGCAAAGGATGAGGGACCTCCGGAGATGGGACAGGTACATTTGTAAACTGCCACTAAAGTTAATATATATATATATATATAACGTACACTCTGTTCATTCACAATATATATATATATATATATATATATAGATAACGTACACTCTGTTCATTCACAATCTGTTGGATGTACACAATCAGGGTCTATTTCCTCGTTCAGTTATATATTTTTATAGGAAACAAGACCTTATTAATAAAATGCAAATGGTACAACACTCGAACAAGATGTCCTCTAACAGAAAACAATCAAAGACAAAAATCATCATTTGCCTTCATAAACCAGCAAACGAAGACATTTTTAACAGTATAATTCCAATCTGAAACAAAAGTGATAAAACGAGCTCTACCTGAACTCTGATGAAATGCCCAAAGGGAACTCTTTCCCACAAATAATCAATCTTCTCACCGTCATATCCTCAAATATTTGTCTATTCCTTTCTATCCAAACAACCAAATGATAGCCAACGTCCTGTGTTCCAAACACCAAGCCCCTCTTTTTATTAAAAATCAATATGGAGGGATAATATACCAAGCACATCACGGATTCATGATAGGTTTAACTAAAGTGTTGGTGTTACATGTAGCTCCTCATGGTTGTCCAGTAAACAAATGACTGAATTCGTTTCATTTTGCATATTTGAAGAGTCCAAAGAATCATAAGCTGGTTATTTATAATTGATGAAAGGCATAATAATAGTCAATGGCCTGACCACATTTTGGGTAGTGAACTAGAGCTGGGACAGAACTAGAGTTGAAGGGTGGAATTCTTTAGCTCCACATGTATTTATTTAGAGCTTTTCATTTCCCCTTTCAGATATCAGATGCAATACGTGATGGAGCTGAAGGTTTCTTCAGGACCCAGTATGGAACCATCTCTAAGATGGCAATTTTACTAGCTTCGGTTATCCTCTGCATATATTTATTTCGCAGACCAACACCTCAGCAAGAAGCATCTGGTCTCGGGAGGTGATAATTTTTTATTTCTATATTCATACCTGTCCTCTTCACCCCAATCCAAAAGAAACTCTTTGTTAATAAATATTGATGATGATTTTTTGATGTAGGTTCACTTCAGCTTATATTACGGTAGCTGCATTTCTTTTGGGAGCTTTATGTTCAGGTGCTGCTGGGTATGTTGGGATGTGGGTTTCAGTTCGTGCAAATGTTCGAGTCTCTAGTGCTGCTAGACGGTCTGCAAGAGAGGCATTACAGGTATGTGACCTATGTAGTTAACTGTTTGAGAACACATCAAATTCATATATTAAAGGGAAAATACCATGTGCAGATAGCTGTTCGTGCTGGTGGTTTTTCTGCTTTGGTGGTTGTTGGTATGGCTGTACTTGGTATAGCCATCCTGTATGCCATTTTTTATGTTTGGTTGGAGGTGGATTCCCCAGGTTCAATGAAGGTTACTGACTGTACGTGTTGACTGTCCTTGCTCCTTGGCTATGGTTATGATATTTATTGCATCAATTTAAAGAACTTCTGTCTTTTCATTCCTACTTCAATGATCCTATACGAAACGTTAAAGTGTACTGCTGTATGCTCTTAATCTTTTGGGTTATCATGCATTCCCTGTGGTGATTTATTTAGATATGAGTTTTTTTTTTTTCTCTCTTCATCCTAGTGAAAATATTTCCAATCTGTTTGACAATGTATTTACAAACTTGCGACTACCCATCTGCCCTGGTATAACCTGTTGCTCTATACAGTAAGCGGTATATATGGGTTTAATGCTTATATATGATGGTATCAACTTAATATCTATATGATGATGTTAGCTGTTTGACTGCATATTCATCTTTGTACATCAGTTACTATTTCCATTGTTTTTTAGACCTGGTGCTTGACTTTGATGTACTTAATTTTCAGTGCCTCTTCTGCTTGTTGGATATGGATTTGGAGCTTCTTTTGTTGCCTTATTTGCTCAGTTGGGAGGTGGAATATACACCAAGGCAGCTGATGTTGGAGCAGATCTTGTTGGAAAAGTAGAGCAGGGAATTCCCGAAGATGACCCTAGGAATCCTGCTGTGATTGCTGATCTGGTATTTTTCATCTTTCAACCCTGATATCCTAGGCGGAACTTTTGTACATTGAAGGCCTAGTTTCCAATTTTATGTGTTTCATATCAACTGTTTTATTAGTCCTATACTAGCCTTGCCCCATTATGGGCTATAAGGTCGGTTAGATATTTATATTTGATTACAATGTTTTAAGCTTAAGTTCATTAGTAGGAATTCCTTGAGTACCCAATATATATACATACATATATACATATACATATACATATATATATATATATTATATATATATATATATATATATATATATATATTAACTAAGATTGAAATCACAAAAAGAGAAAAGGATAATTGGTGAAAGTATAATATATATTTCTCAGTTATAAGCGTATCATAATTGTAGACATTCATTAGCTTGCATGCAGATTCTATAGAGACAGACTAGAATGGAGAAAAATGGTTTTGGTCCTTTTATCCATACTTGAGGACAGCACCGATAAATTTGTATTATGCCTGCTACCTTTAAATGTGTAAATTTATTGGCTTTACTTTGATAATTGAAATTAAGGTTGGAGACAATGTGGGAGATTGTGCAGCCCGTGGTGCTGATCTTTTTGAAAGTATTGCTGCTGAAATTATTAGTGCTATGATTCTTGGGGGAACGATGGCTCAACGTTGTAAAATCGAAGGCAAGCACAAGCTGTGGTGTTGTATTCATTCACACACACAGCCACTCAACCTTGGCGACAAATATGTTTGTTGGCCATTTCATTAGTGTTGTTACTGGTTTTATTCAAACCAGGGCCATCTATTTCTCTTAAACACTCACCTTTTCTTTCACTGCCTGTGCAGATGCATCTGGTTTCATCTTGTTTCCTCTGGTTGTTCACTCTTTTGATCTGGTGATTTCATCAGTTGGAATATTCTCAATTAGAGGTACACGTGATTCCAGTGGAAAGGCTTCTTCCGAGGATCCAATGAAAATTCTACAGAGAGGATATTCTGTTACAATACTCTTGGCTGTTCTGACATTTGGTGCGGTAATACTCCACTGACCATCGAACAATGTTTCATCTTTTTTCCTCTGGTTGTCTCGTGAAATTTTATTTTTTATTTATTTATTATTTATTTTTTGAAGTTTATGCTTCATAGCCTAGCATAAGTTTTCCTTTGGTTTGAGTTTTAACTTTTAAGTCATTGCGATTGTTTCTTTTGTACAGTCTACGCGATGGCTGCTTTATACTGAGCAAGCACCATCTGCGTGGTTTAACTTTGCCTTGTGTGGGCTAGTTGGCATCATCACAGCATATGTCTTCGTCTTTATCACCCAATACTATACCGACTACAAACACGAGCCTGTACGCACATTAGCTCTTGCAAGCTCCACAGGTCATGGGACTAATATAATTGCTGGAGTCAGTTTGGGTCTTGAATCAACTGCTCTTCCAGTTCTTGTCATTAGTGTATCTATTATCTCAGCTTACTGGCTGGGCCAGACCTCTGGCCTTATAGACGAACATGGAATTCCAACTGGTGGGCTGTTTGGCACAGCTGTAGCAACAATGGGAATGCTCAGTACTGCTGCATATGTTCTCACTATGGATATGTTTGGTCCAATAGCTGATAATGCTGGTGGAATTGTAGAGATGAGTCAGCAGGTATCTTGTAATGATTAAATTAAGATTTATGTTTCAGTTGTGAAGACTATTTTTTCTACTTTCTCTTATTTTGTACAATTTGGATTTGATGTATCCTTACAGCCTGAAAGTGTTCGGGAGATCACTGATGTTCTAGACGCAGTAGGAAACACTACAAAAGCTACCACTAAAGGATTTGCCATAGGATCTGCTGCACTTGCATCTTTTCTTCTGTTTAGTGCTTATATGGACGAGGTTGCTGCATTTGCACGTGAACCTTTCAAACAGGTAAGCAGAACAGCTATCTCACAGTTGATATTTTTCCCTGACAAATACCATTCAGTTGTTTCTTAATTTGAAATTTTAACTGTTTGCCAGGTTGATATTGCCATTCCAGAAGTTTTTGTTGGCGGATTGTTGGGCTCTATGCTGATATTTCTATTTAGCGCATGGGCCTGTTCAGCAGTTGGGCGAACTGCACAAGAGGTTGTTAAGGAAGTAAGGCGGCAATTTATTGAGAGGCCTGGGATAATGGTGAGTAATGCTTTTGTAGAAATTCCCATATTCTTGATCTTTACAGTGCAGCTAAAGCTTTTGTTGGGGATCACAGCTTCACCATAATAAATATTGTTCTAAATGTCATTTAAAGGGAATTGTTATTAGCACTCCAAAAATCTCATTTGGCACTCCAAACTTTCTATAATTAGAAAGAAAAATACACTTGTGAGGAGTATAGAATGAGATTTTTGGAGTGCTAATAACAATTCCCCCTTTAAATACTAGTTAATTACACTAGTTGTTCAACATGTTCATTTATTACCAACAAATTAGAACTGATTGTCAAAACATAATGGTATAATTGTAAGTAAATTGAAATAAGAATTCAAAAGTGAACAGAGAGAATGTAGAAAAGAAGATGATGGCAAAAAATTAGAGTACATGATGGTACACAACAGTGTGTGCGCACTACTGTTGGATAAATAATCAAACCAGCCTTCTAATTATGCTTTTCCTGACATGCTTTCTGTAGGAGTACAAGGAGAAGCCAGATTATGCTCGTTGTGTTGCTATTGTAGCATCTGCATCTTTAAGGGAGATGATAAAACCTGGTGCCTTGGCTATTATTTCACCTATAGCTGTTGGTGGGTTAATTATTTTATTTCACTTGTACTCCTTTATCCACTGGACACAATTTATCATGGCCGCTTTTTAATGTGTGAATTGGAGTTGCATTATTTCTATATGAAGGGCTGCATAAAGTTATATCTTATTTTGTGCACAGTATAGAGGTATTTTTACCATGTATATATCTTCATTTATTGCATCTCTTTTCCTTTGGTTGTGCTGCTATGAATTGTGATGAAATTAATTCTGGGGCATTGATTGAAACAAATTGCATAATGCAAGTCTAGTATTCCTGCATAATTATGTTTGAATTATGCTACACATGGTTTAAGTTTCTTTATGTTTTGTTATACTGCCGCATTGAATTCCAGGATCAGGGTTTTTTACATAATCGTTTATTCATCGACTTTTGGTGCTTCCTATTGTGAAGGCTGTGTGAACATGTTATATAAATGTTGTTTTACTCTTGATTTTTGGAATATGGTTCTCTGATTCAATTGGTCCTTATGTTACTGGTAAATTGAATGTGGGATTGGTTGATGGAAGGAGCTAGTATTTATTTATTTATTTTTGATGAAAAAGATGCAACTCTTAGCATTATTGTCAAATGTTTAGCGTTCACATATCAACATTCTGCTTTACCATGCGGTTCATGATCAAGGATTAATTCTTGCTCGTACTCGTTGCAGGTATTGTGTTCCGGATCTTTGGATACTACAATGGGCAACCTCTACTTGGTGCTAAAGTTGTGGCTTCCATGCTGATGTTTGCAACTGTTTCTGGTATTCTTATGGCACTTTTCCTCAACACAGCCGGAGGTGCCTGGGATAATGCAAAGAAGTACATTGAGACAGGGGTTCTCGGTGGCAAGGGAAGTGATTGCCATAAGGCTGCAGTTACAGGAGATACGTAAGTTCTCTTGATGTCTTCTTTTTTTCTCTCTTGACATTGAACATGCCTGGTTGTGGGAGTAGAAAGTATTTTCGTAACAACCATTTGGCTTCTATCTCCTTAATAATTCTTGTAGTTAGTTCTTTCTTTCACGTGCCTTTCCTTGCACTTTTATTGCTGCCCGATTCTGAATTTCTTCGGCATTGCAGTGTGGGTGACCCATTCAAAGACACAGCCGGACCTTCACTGCATGTTCTCATCAAAATGCTTGCAACTATAACGCTGGTTATGGCTCCGGTCTTTCTCTGAGAGTTGTTTATAACGATTCCGGTTGTGCCAGTTTACTGCAGCCCCTTATCTTGAGTTGCTGATTACTCAGAAGCAAAATATACTGCAAATATACAAAGAGGTTTTGTTTATGTACATTGAGGGTGCCTGATTCGTAGTCATACCAAATTGTCTTTGTTTTTCTTTTTGACTTGGATCTCGAATAATTAATGTTAATTAGCGTATTAACAGTAATATGTAGTTTATGACGTATTATCCTCGACGTAATTGATCAAAATACAGAGTTTATCATCTGTTTCGAGCATTCTGTTACTTTTTAATTCGACAGATTGGTTGTATGTAACAGGCAATGTCGAAGAGCTTCTCAATAGGTATAACACGGCTCAGATTAAAAATCAAAACTATGACAAACAGGCTAATTGGATCGTGAAGCTTTTCGGATTGTAATAAGTTACAATTTTTCAAAGTCCCGTCTTAAAAACTTGCCTCCAAAAAGTAATATTTGTCGGTAAGAACTTCAACGCGACTCTTCCGCATATCCTTTTAACCACGCGTCCATGCAATAGCTATTTGAGATGAGGTGTTTCTTTCTTCCTAATGTCAACATCTTAGAAAATTGACATACTTCACTATTAATAGTATTTTGTATCCATAGAACTTTCATCAAGGAAAACCAAGTAAAAAAATAATTGTTGTAACTATACATCTATTAAGTAATAACCTTCTTACAGTAATAAAATTGGTTTAGTACCAACATTATTACAACAGAGATGTCTTATTGTACATGGGTCAAGTTTGGCTTCTCGCATGTAAGGAATCATTTCTCCTAATATAACGACGTGATATCGTTTCACCGTACAAACATCACAATTTGAACCATTCTGAAGACAACAGAAATGTGAATAAATTTAAACCTAAAAGTGCCTGAAGACAAGAGTGCGCTGTGAGCGTGAATGAACTCATTTCACACGCGATATCAGAATATAAGTAAAGTACAATAGTGTGAGTAAGGATTATATCCTCAGAGGTAGCCACCTAAACTGAGATTTTCTCAGAATCCTCGTCGATACAAACTTTCAGCAGTTAATACCTGGAGGGGCGAAAAATAAAAAACATGAGTGGGCAAAAACAAAGCTTTTTGAAACCATTTCTCTTTCCAAAAATAATAACCCCTCCAATAAAACCTGTATAATTTCCCAGAAAATAATAATAATACATATGTATATAAAAATCATGCTTGAGGGTAGTGAAAACCAAGTATATGCCATGTCAAGTATCTCAGCAATGAAATAAGTAAGCCAGGTGAAATAAATCAATGTAAAATGATATGTCAGCCAAAGTCACCTAACGTGACCTGTATGGCTGAACCTATAGCTCATCAGATATGCCAGCACATGAGTTGGAACCACCTAGTGTGGTCTGTACGACAAGGCTGGGTGCAAATAAGTACGCTCAAGTGTTACGATCACGTGAAGGCTGTGAGAATAATCGCAGGTCACCTACGAGTCGGAACCACCTAATGTGGTATGTACAACAGGGTTGTGCACCAAACTTGGATCCAAGGTGAGCGTACGATGTAGGAGGTGAACATCATGTGAAGGACTATGCCCTGGTCATGGACGGGAACACTAACACCGGGGTTCAGGATAATGAGCTCTACATGCCTCTACGTATAACCATAACCAAAGCAACCACTAACATCATATAGTACTCACCTAAAACTTACCTGGCCTCCACAACGTCATACAATAACATGCATATACATACCAATGCATATAATAAAATGAAATGCAAGCATGACATGGCATTTAAAAGAATACGCTTGTTTAAAACAGTTTCTAGGAAAATGTAAAGCATATATACGTATATATAGAAAACCAAAAGCCTACTCACCTGGAGTCCGCACTACAACTCTCTAGCACACACATCGAGGCATCATGAACGATCGGCGCCTAGAACAATTATCAAACCACAACTCAAAATCCTTATTAATAGAACACGTAACTTACATAAAACACATCCCCAAGGATGTTCTAGAATGATTTGAGACCCATCGACCAAAAGTCAACCGTCGGTCAAAGATAGACGATAGGGTCCACAACCCTACGTAACTCGATCTGGAAGATCTGCAAGTCGGATTTCAGATCCGTAACTTCCAAGTATCCAATTATGCTTTTAGAATAACATATTAAAGTTTCAGAACGATTCAACAGTCGGATCTCTGCCATTGTCAAAACCAAGTGGCGGTTAACATTTTATTTTATGAACTTACAAATCCAATTCGGGAAAATCCATATGTCAAATTCCCTATCCTTAGGTTCCTACAGTCCTTAAATATTACGTACTATAATGTATTAAAGTTTGGTGACAATCCAACGGTCGGATCGTCGGTTGCTCTAATAATCAAGTGGCGGACCTTAATGAAACTAGGTCCAAACGATGGAATTTCGTCAATCAGACTTCACAAACGGAACCAAGGTATTCAAATTTAGCCTCGGAAGTTTAGGGGACACCTCGGCCCATGCGCCGCGGCAGGTGGCGGTTGGCCGCCCCGACTCGCCGGAAAATCCAACTATTTCCAAAAATTCTCAAACTTCACAGAAATGAAGATCTCAGTGAGTAGAGCAAGTTTCATACCTACAGCCAAGTCCAATTTGGCCGGAAATCACCTCAAGTTGGCCACGAACCGCCTAAAACCCCTTGAATTTGGGTGTGTTTAATTCAACCTAAAACGAACTCCGACGCCCCCAAACTTGTTTGGCCTTTGTTCCAGACCTCAAGGGCATTCTAAAGGCGCTAGAGATGGATGTGGTTAGCTTCAGATTTAGGTGATTCGAACCCAAAACCGCCGCACCCCATCGTGCGGGTTCTCCCATTTTCAAGGCCAAATCTCACCAAATTTGGGGTGGAATGGATAGAGGGAAGGTCGTGGAGGTGGTTCTAGGTGGTTAGTCGATGTAATTCGCCAGAAAAATGGGTGAAAAGCCGTTGGAACCCATGGAAGTCGCAAGTCGGGTCACAGGTCTTCAAAAGGACCCGATTCCCTCATTTTCTCCTTCCTCTTTTCCCCTCTTTGCTCTCCTCTCCCATTGGCCGGTTCCATCCCCTTATTCTCTCCCACGTGGCTCCTGATCAAAGCTCCAACAAATCTAGAGCCTTTCAGATTAACAACCAATTTACCATGTTGTCCCTAACTTTAAACGTTAATAACTCTTTCATTATAACTCCGTTTCACGAACGGTTTTTGCCTACCCGCTCGTGAGATTGAGCTCTATCCAAATATTACAAGAAACTTGATAAATTATATAAGGATAAAATACGTTCCCATAAAATTATGTTTAGCCACCTAAGGACATTTTCGTAAATTCACTTATTAAAATTATAAAAACCGTAAAATTGGGAACGGGTCGCTACAATCTACTCACCTTAAAAAAAAAAAAAAAATTGTCCTCTAAATTTAAAATAAACTTGTTAAATGTAAAATACTCAAAAATAAGGAGAAAGTGTGTATATAAATACATATACAAGGAGAAATCGAGTTAGAGCGGCTGCATAAAAAAGAATGTCATTCTGTCGTGATCGGAGTGCAGTGATTCCTCTTTCATGCCTTCAAACTCAAACTTTCCTTCTCCTTTAGTACAATGCCAAAATATAATACCTTTAAAAACATAACGTCCCAAAAATAGATGTATAACATCATAATACATATGCAGTGAAGTAAGTTAAAATAGTTGTATTGAAATCAAAACCAAGCATAGAAGGATTCACCTACGTTCTTGTAGCGTAACGTACTCTGAAAATAAGTATGTATTGACTTTGGGTCGAGCCCAAACAATAAATAGCTAATTAAATAAGTAAATACAAATACTAACGTAGAATGACCTACTTGTTTACTTGCTTAACAACACAACGAATAAGTTATTGATATTACGGTTTGTAGCCCGCAATACCGACAACTCACTGTTGTCTCGATAAGCAAGTAACAATTCTCGAGGGTGCAATATTACCATCATGCCCCTAATGAGAAATACGCATACATCGTCTAAACAAAGCCTCGATCGTGCTCACGCACTACCTTCTTGGGCAACATCATCATTATTATAAAATTTTCTATATCGCAATCTCAATCATTCAAATAATTGTTAGCTATACTCTTCGGTAAGTCACATATTGTGATATCATATCTTAAATGATGCCCTCCTCATAGCCAAGAATGTAACTGCAATTACACATAACTCTAACAAAGGTAAGTGTCTAACAATCATGTACTACACGTAAATCTCTATATGTTAGTTCCAATTGTACCATAGCTAAACCAAAATTGTAAACGTAGTTACCAACAACTAAATAAAGATAAAGGTATGTTGCAACCATACTAGTTGTAGGATGAAAAAAATGCACACGTCCACTAAGGTCTGAGTAACTCATTCAGCCTAATCGTTAGTCTAGGGGTGGAAATGTGATACTAAACAAAATCTAATACTCATAACCTTCCAAAAAAAGACTTCCAGAGGCTTGGAAGTAAAACGCATAGCACAGTGAGATATAAATACATCAAGATGATAATCAGGTCAGGTTTCTATTTGCCTGAACTTGTATAGAAGTCTAGAAGCAGCTCTCTTATAATGCCATCACCCTCCGAAGGAAAACAGAGAAAAAATGTGGTTGTCCAGGAAGTTTGGACTTTATTTCCTCAAACATCCTTTCTACTCTAACCAAAGGTAGGGCGCGCCTAAATTGAGAATTTTCTTCAAACACATCAAGTGGAGTCTCAATTTTATTTCCTTTCATATCTCTACATTTGATCATATGCCAGAGGGGGACTTTTAGATCATGGCATGTTGAGGAGTTAACAGCATCCTACTTTTGTCTTAGTTGGTTTCACAAGTGTCTTGTTGTTGAAATTCCAGTGCCTATTTTAAGGAAAGAATTCATCAACATTACCGACTTTAAGCTTTAGGGCTAGAAGAACACTGCCTTCCACTTGAGTAAAGCTACCACCAATTGAAACACCACATGAGCGTAGCATTGGTTCAGCATCATGATTATTGATTTTCACATTCTTTACATGTACAAAATAGCTCATATAAGGAGTTTAGAGTGATGATTCCTCATCTCCAGTTGGATACAAGAAGTGATTATAATCATTCGAACAATTCTTGATAATTCAGAAATAATGTCAAGTCAATGTTGGTGAACTCCAGCTAAAATGAAATAGTAATGGCTAGAAATGTTCAAGGGTAGATATGTCTTTTTGCACAAGCGGGATGATACACGATAGTGCACTCGTAGATGTTGATTTAGTTCTTCTACTGCTGCTGTCAGAGATTCATTCCAAAAGTAAGTGTATTTAAGAAATTCTAAGGTTGATAAAGGTTTTGGACATATTTCTCCACAAAGAAGTACCATTCGGTTTTCAAATGAAAATGATATATGTTGTCTCTAGGTCATGAGTAAGGTAGTTCATTACATATGGTTCTAACCATTGAGAGATATAGGCAATTACTCCACTATACTGCCTCTACATAGCTGAAATATCCAAAGAACCTGTCATCGTGGATTTCCAAAATGATCAATGTCATTGAAAGATGTAACACAAAGGTAGATTGAGACAACAATTCGGTTGTCAGAATTTTATTCGTACTAACATCACAACTAAACTAACTTTCCTCGGTTGTGAGTGAGTAAAAACACTATAGCCGAAAAATCTCTAATCGATTATCGATAAAATCGACAAGACTAAAGATATCTCAAAAGTAAGTGCACTTTGTGAGAATTCCTACTTTCTTCCGCTACAATCATTTTGGGAAAAAGAAAAGAATCTCATCCCTTGAGATCACCTTCCCAAGAAGAGTATCACTTTAATCAAAGTTTACAATCGAGGAATCTGGTATTAAGATGACTAACAGAGCTCAGGGAATTTGGTCTCGCTGTCGAGGTAGATAAGAAGGTTGTCGAGAAGACCACTATAAATTCATCAAACCATGGAAGCAAACTCGGGTCACAGAGGTTGGTTGGCTAGACCATCAGCTAGAAGTAGGGGTTTCGAGTTCCCTGAATCATAATTTTTATTTTTTTTTAATGATAGTTGGTGGCAAACCTCGGTCATCCACCTTTTTCGGGAGCCGAGAAGATATATAGAAACATTTTGGTCTTTCTCTAATCACAAGTTTGACTTCTACACCAGCAACGGGTTTCGAGCCCAATACCTCAGTTTTTAATTTGAACGAATTGGCCCAACATAATTCAATACACAAAGGAGTTCCATCTTATCTTCCATAACCCTTCAAAATCCCCCGTTGAAGTTCTTCTTCCCACGACCTCTCCAAAAACCCACACAAAAACCCGTAAACAGCTTCGACCTTTCTTTCTAATTCCCACATATCTTTCCAACCCACCAATGGAAAAGCCAACCTTCAACAAATACGTCACTGAAGACCCCAAAACCCCCACTCCCACAACACCACAAAAACCCCAGAAGACAAGGCTGCCAACCCCACAAGAGCTCATACCCCACTACAAGTCCAGGGCCTGGACTCCCAGGAGGCCTCCCTGAAGGTCATAGGTGACCTACAGACCACCCTCTTTAAGGTCATATCCTCCGACAGAGGCAGAAAGGACAAGATTTTGGCCGAGACGTCAAGGAAAATTGACAGCACCAACAATATCCTTGCAATTCTGAACATGAAGGTTGACTCAAAGCCTGGATTTGGTGAAACTTTTGGAATTGGGGTTGCTTCTGGGGTCACTTTGAAGGGCATTGAGACTGTCCTGCCCCATGTGATTAGGGGCTTTTGGGAGATTTGGAACACTGTTAGGAGTGCCACTAAGGATTTTGCTTGATCTGTATTGTTAAAAAATTTCTGCCCATTTTTCTTTTTTGGAGATTTCTGGGGAATTTTGTTGGAGGGTTCTTTTAGATGTTGCTGAAATTTGGAGTGGGGAAATGCATTTCATTGATGTAAAACTGGATAACCTTTTGCTAATGAACAAAAAGGTTGCAAGTCGACTCAACCTAAAGTCCCCCAACAGGTACTACTAGGATAGTATCGATACTTTAAAGACATCAGACTTCCGTTGTTTATATATTTCTTTGGAAACTCAATACTTTATTTTCAAATTATGTTATTAATATTATCGATATTTTATTTAACCTTCGTGTATTTGGAGAAATTTTTCAATATGATCGACACACGAGATAGTACATCACGTGTCACTCTACAAATAGTGGGATATATGTGTTAAAAAGTTAATAACTTAAAAAATAAAATTTCCCACCACTTACATAAAAACAAGTGATGTACCACCCATATTCCCGTCACAATAAAAAATTTCTCATGTATTTGAAGTTGAACTGCTTAGAAATGCAGGTAACTAATATGGGTCAGCAAATTAAATAAGAACACAAACTTGAAAAAAATAATAACAAAGAAAAGTGTATGCGGTTATCTTTCAATTCTACAATGGGCATCACTTGTGGTCTCTGCGAGTTTACAATACCTTTTATTTAAAATCTACAATGCCAAATGCCCGTGGTCATAATTGCAAATAACAACGGATAGTGTATGTGGTATAAGATATTTTACAACAAGCTTCCTCTATGGTCTTGTGAATCTACAACAACGCACATTTCATTTCAATCACAATACAAGTCCTTGGCAGAAAACATGCATTTTATACCATATCTAAATTCTTAACGGACAGAACGTCCGTGGTGGATTTCAATCTACCTCGAACATCCACCGGTGGTGATAGATGAATTTTTGTCTTCTAGTGCATGTGTTATTAAACTCAATAATCTGAATCTGATCATCACTACAAAAGATGTGGCTAAAAGGTACGTGATTCGTAAATGTACGGTACACAATTGTATTAAGAAAATTTGTGGAGTTATATCATGAGCTTATTTATTTTTTATTACACCATAACATTAATACTTAAAAAAGCCAAACCCCTTAACTATTGACTATTAATTGACCAAATACATAATAGCCGCCAAGTATAAGCACATAAACATGACAAATATAGATTTGGTTGTGAGAATTGCATGGCGGAGCACTCAAACAAATTTGGCCTCTAATGGTCTGAATTCCTCTTTATATGTCACCAAATTACAGCCAACATAATGAACACTCACAAACCAATCATGACAAGTTCCTCTCCAATTCAGAACTTGTGTTTCGCAGAGAAAGAGTTCTTTCGAGAAAGAGTTCTTTCTATTGTAAGAAACTTTTTCTCTGCGAAAACACTCAAAAGAAAGAAAAAAAAAACCATGTTTCTCTTTGTTTGTAAATAAATATGAATTCTTCTTATAAATCATAAAACCCTTTTCTGCTGCATGCATAGCTCTCCAACTTTCCAACCCAATATATCCGAGTCCATAACTAATTCATCATCATCAGCATCGAGGCATCAGTAGTGGATGTCGATGTCGTGTCGGGCGTGCGGGGGCGACGGTGACCACACCTGGCGCTAACAGGTAACGCCACTGAAGAGGTTGATGATGTTAGCGCCTGAGAGACCTAGGGAGCGACTGGATCAACCGGATTAACTGGCTTGGGCTCCATTTAAGATGGAGCAATGACAGCTGAAGTAGAAGGGGGATCGAACGGGGTGTAGTCGTCACCGCCTTACGACTTCTAATAAGATGCGACATTTGCAGAATGAGAAAAAAAATTCAATCCATATATATGATGTGATACAGGGGCAGCAGGCTTAAGAAATTCAATCTAATTCACAAATGATACGGTTTCGGGGCTGCTTAAAATACCAATACTAATATGTGGAAACAATTCACTCTAATATTAATTTCTTTCTATAAACATCCACACCAAAAGTACATACGCTAGCCACTTAAGCTTTTGGCTCAAGGGAGAATAAACCAATTTGACAAAATAAAACAAGCGAGAACAACTGGAAGAAGCAGACGCAATAAATAGAAACCATGAACATAAGACCATGCCCTTACTACTCACAAATGGCAGTAAAACCAAAATACAAAATACCATTATTATCAAATACTCTCCCCAATTCCCATCTCAGAAACCTCAAAACCATAGCAATCAAAAGAAATAGCATATCCCAAATCCAACAAAAAAGTAGAGAATACAAAAAGCTCAGACCCGAATAATCAAACAGAATCTAAATAGACAATGTACCATACTCTGAACCGCAAGCAACTCAATGTTAAGTCAATTACAACAAAACCAAATACCCAATTCATCAAGCATATTAAGCTATATCAAAACGTTTAGAAAAATAAGCTAGATCGAACACGCAATTATTCACGAAATCCAGATTCCCAACCATCCAAAAGTTTGAAACTTTCAAGTTTCAATTCTCTTAAACTTATGTTTTAAGAAAGATAATTAACATAATTAACACCAAACCACCAAATAGCCCATGAACGAAGTGGTTTTGCTAATAACTCTCAAGATTTAATCTTTACTTAATACAATCAAGATTACTAACATTGCATGCAATTCAAACACAAAGACCGAAACGACCGCACGATTGTTAGAATCAAAATGTAAAACTTTGCAGACTACCACTCCCAAATCCGAAATCAATCCAACCTTTCTTAAATCAAAAAGATATCAGACAATACCCCCTTTCATCCCTTTTGCTTCCATTTCCAACAATATCCCTCACAAACGGGTCAGTCTCACTCTCCTCTAGTCCAAACATATCGTAAGGAACTGAATTCAACTAATCTAAATTCCTTAATTGGCTAAGAAACACCAAAAGTAAACCCTAGAATCCGAAATCAAGCATAAAATCAACAATTAAACCACAAAAGCATTGACCCATATGCATTTCATTGAAGGAGAAACAAAAACCCAGTCCACTTACCTATATGCATTTCCCCACTTACCTATGTGCAAATGGGAATTCGAAAAGGCATGGTTTTTTTTTTTTTTTGGAGTCAAACTCAATTTAGCAAAAAAAAATAACCCTAATTAACTAGCAAGATTAGTTTGATAAAAGAACCCTAATTCCTAAATTTACTAGAGTTAAGTAAATTGAAAATTACGCCAGAGAGACAAGATTGTTGGAGGAAGAGAGAAGGTTGTCGAAGGAAGAAGAAAGAGGGTTGTCGGAGGAGGAAGCGAGAGTGCAACGGAGAGCTGAGGGAGATGGCTGTTAGAGGGAGAGTTTGCAGAGAGGACGAGGTGAGGGGAAAGTGTTTGCGATTTTAGTTTAATCCCGAGGTTCTTGCGTGACGAATAGAAGATATTCATCACACAAAAAATTCAAATTTTCATGAAATTATTTTCGTGCCCACCCAGAAAATCAAAATTTTCACCTCCTTGAGCAACGAAGGGGAATTAATCGTCGCGCAATGAGCTAAAAATTTAATTTACTTAGGTCAAATTTTTTTAAATTTATATTTATTCAAATAAAAACAATTTATTTATAACATAAGATAAATAAATTACAAAAAAAATTCATTTAATATGTTTTATATAGCAAGTCACAAATAACTTGCATCATTCATCATTCGAACTATAATAACTTTCACTATCATCACTTTCGGTCTCCTAATCCTCCTCCTTGATAGGTACGTCACCATCGTCATTCGGGCCCACTGCACCATCATATCGCGGAAGATTACAGAGGTCAATTGTAATTGACTGAATCGGTATTTCGATTAAAGCCACTCCTTGTATTTGAAACGGTTCTTGGATAAAATTTGTATCTCGAAGTGTTTCCGCATCATTTTCCATTGAAGATTCTAAACATTGGTCAGTGACGTCGTCGACGTCGTCGTCAGTAGGGTCTTGTTCTGGTATAGCATACACATTCCTCTTATCCATCTTCTGAACAACTTTCCAACCTCTATCGGCTTAAGGGTCATCTAGATACACAATTTGTTTTGCCATGTTTGCCAAAACGTAAGGATTGTCATCATACCAAGTTCAGTTAGTGTTCACAGATAGTAAGCCATGGTCGATTTTAACACTTCCCTGCTTATTTGGGTTTATATCAAACCATTGACACTTAAACATGATCACTTGGCATCGGTCTTTGTAAAGCAATTGCATGACAGTTGTTAGTTTGCCATAGCAATCAATGTCCATACTTTCGCCTCCACCTGGGACATGGACACTGTTATTTTGCATACACAATTTTTCATCTCGTGCAGCCCCCAAAAACTTGACGCCCGTTAACAAAGCAACCCGAGAATAATTTAGCACGGATCGAGTCGAATGCCAAGTTATATAACTCTTCATTGTAAGTGGGGAAATTTGATGCTTTCAATTTATTCACCTAACATTATACAAAAACATACACCTGTTAGTTTGAGAAAATTAAATACTACAATATATATGTCAAATACAAAACACTTATAACTTAGATATTCGAGAAACCACTATGGAAACAATTCTCGATGTTTCTTGGCATACAAATGTGATGGATGTTCTCACTTCATCATCTCTTCATGCTCATCTAGCTATGCCATTATCTCGTCACAATTGTTCAGTATGAACCAATGCGCTACTTCCATGTCATCTTTGAAAAACGACTCGCCTCATACAAGATCTCCAAAGGGTCGTGCGTATTGGGCAAAAATAGAAAGGTTCTCCCTTCTCATAACCCCCGCCATTATTGCGCTGAGGACGATTGAAAGTCGTCTCCACATCTTTTGAATATATTCCACAAAATGTAAGCAACTCATATTTAACCCAAGCCTCTATAATTGATCTTTCGAGCTTCGGCCTGTTACGTACACTTTTTTTAGCTCCCCGAGAAGTCTGCCAAAATAAAGCGATACGATACAAATTAGTAAGCATGGGTTAAAGATGAATAAACAAATGATGAGGATTATATACCTTTATATT